CTGGCTTCATTAATCATCAATTTTTACTACCATCAATGCAGTTTCCAACTGCTAACAGGACACTCTAACAATACTGTTAAAAGTAGAATGATAGATAGTGGTTCCATTGTGCTTTGTTATCAGATGTTCTAGTAGTTGGAGAAATAGACACCACACTTTGTCGCAAGAGGTTGAAAATCTAATGTTTGATGAAATTTATGGTTTGTTCTATAAATCCTAATTGTTTCAAGTTCAATGTGAGGCCTGAAATTTTTACTGGGAAACAAATTTCTTGAGTTCATCATATTCCTTAATTTTGTTAAATTTCCCGTTTCTGGATTTATTCAGATTCAACTGAATTGTATATAGTTTGTGCAACGGATTCACATTTTTCGATCGCTTAGTTCATCATTCTCTCTCTTGGTTATATTGGTAAGCCATTTATTTATTTCACACGTTTATTTTCCTCAATAATCTGTACTTAAGGTCACACGAGTTTGCTTGTTTCATGATTAAGTCTAGTTTATTAACTGACACATCTCTGAGCTACTGGTTGCTTAATATAGACACATGTACAGTAACTATACCTTCGACGATGTAATAGACTCACACATCCTTCATAATCCGAGAAGTCTAAGTTTATTACTACTTATTGTACGGAATATTTTGGAAGCATATTCGAAACATATTCTCGTGGCATCCATCTGAATGTTTTATACGTCTAATATTATCGAACGAAATGTGAAGATATAGAATCTATTTGTTTACATCACTTGAGAATATTTCAATGCGGCGACCAAGATGTAAAAAATGAAAGACGGAGGACACCGATTTATGTCTCTTTCATTTAGATCCCTGGCAACCTAAACAAATTGTGATCAACTGTCGAAGATTTCCATTCATAGCTGGGCAGATATATCAGTCAGTTGTAAATTTAATGGTAAGGCGAATATCTGACTGGGAAATTTCACGCACTTTGGAAGCAACTAATGGTCTCATTGACAATGTTAAGTGGTATGTGAAGTAAGTGAAAGGATCCGAAAGGAGTAGTAAGGGATGATTTCACAACATCACTGGATTAAAATGTAAATGAACAATATGCTTTCATGGTATCAAGCTTTGAGAAAATATTCACTCTCACCGATGACTTGACAAGAACACTTATGTGTTGAATATGGTGGTAATCAGTTCTCTGCCAATCTTCTGGGTTCCAATGATCTGTAAGGGAATGGAAAGCTTCCTCAGCAGAACCCATCTGTACTTTAATACTCTGAATTGGCTTCCAACCTCCTTTTGAAGGGATAAGGAGAGACAAACCATTCAACTGTTTCACGTAGGGAATTCCACAGTCTACATACCCTAACTGTAAAGAAGTTATCAAAGATAATTTTTCACGCTTTCACATTCTTTCTTCCTGAAGAATGACCACGACGGGGTAATTTTGATTGGATCCCAAGAAGGTTTTGCTGAGATGCAGAGTACCATCGACGGTACGATAAAACATGATTGTTTCTTTTCAAATCCATATGTACTGTACAGCTTACCAGCATCTAAGTGAGTCAGGTAGGTTTGTGGAGCAGTAAGATAATTCTCTGTAGTTTTCTCCGTTTTTGTTCAACAAGCAGAAATAACAGACGAGCACTGCTTGAATCAAAGACCACTGTTCGCTCCACAGCAACAAACAATATAAACTACAATTTTATCACTAGTGATAATCACGAGGTCATCTCCTATGTTTGTCTGAGAGATGTTCATCAAATTTAGGCAGTAATAAGTAAAATGGATCAGCATCGGTCTACTTTCATTGTTCTACTTTTCTTCAAGTTGAATGGAATTAAGTTCTCATGAGTCGATTTCTAGATTCAGATGACATCCTGTTGAATGATTTAGAGGTGCGGTGTGCTTTTCATTCCCCTCTATGTGGATATGAGTAAACGACTTATATGACTACCTTTTTAAAATCTAGACAATCAGAATAATCTCAGAAATCAAGGTGGAATCGTGGAATTAAGGTATGTTTTATGGACAAAAATGAGTAAGAGAAAGATGTGAAAGGAATTTGCAGTCAATGGAACCTATTTGAAAGATTCCACCAGATGTTAGGAATAAAATTCTGTGAATGCAGTAGAGCAGATGTCGATAAAAGTCACCTTAACAATTGTGGTAATAATAATAGTTAATATGCGATTTGATGAAAAGTAACTGAAAATCAGTAGATGTAGATAAATTCAGTAGATTGGGGTGGTCGAATATTATTATTATTATTATTATCATTTGTCCCTTGGGTTCCTAGTGGAACATAGGGATTCAGTAGCACATCTTCAGTGCACTCTGCTATCTGCAAACGTTTGAATCTGGCTCCACGACAGCCCACAAGCTCTCATTTCTTCCTCACACCATCTCCTACATGTCACCCTCACCTCGGACGCCTAACTCGTCGTTTCCCATCTGGATTCCACCACTCGAGCGACTGACTTCGTGCGTGATGTCCCCAATTAGCCTTGTCAGTGTATACCCAATCCATCTCCACTTCCTTCTACATATTTGTTCAGCGATAGGTTCTTGCTTGGTTTGTTGGCAGGCCAGAGTTCCTTGTCGCTTATTCTTATTATTCTGGCCATCTGATCTTCAGTATCTAGCCAGCGTAGGCAGTTGTTGGTGAATATCTGTAGTTTGTTGGAAATCCCTTTCGTAACGTGCCAAGTGTCTGAGCCATACAGAAGCACTGACTTGACGTTGGTGGTCGAATATTGTTGTTACTAAATTCATAGTCGTTTCCTGAGGTGCTATCAAAAACCACTGATTACATTCTATGTATACTATCAGCGTTAATTTTAACCACTTGTTCGGTCAGGATGATTTGACCACTGTCATCAAGGACTCGATATAGATCATGGTGAGCAGACTGAATTGTCTGTTGAAACCAATCCTTTCCATGAGTATATTTGGTCACTTGCGATAAGATGTGAGTCATCTGTGGTTGTTCTTTTTGGTATGGAAGTGACACTACCTCGTTCTCGCATTAGTTGACAGAGGCAAATAATTAGCCATACCCGATGAAGTTTGTTTATTGGTTTGGAATTACGATGAACTTTAACTGCAGGAAATAATTACCGTCACCAACTGATTTCCTTCTTTTTCCTTACAACACAATCCTCTGTCTAAACATTCCAATGTTCCACTGTTGAACTCTACTGAATTCTTTCAACTCCACGACATAGCATAAATTAGATAATTAGTCCCACTCTAACCTCCAAGAATCTTAATTCGATAACGATCTTTCCATTCGACTGTTTTTGAATTTTCTGTACCTCAAAGACACCTGAATTGCCTTCCTTTGAGTACAAACTATTTTCAGGATAATTTTATAATTTCCATTGTAACATCAAGAACAAGATATTCAGCGAAGAGACTCTTTGCAACGAATTTATTTTCAAACTGTCATTCACTCGGTCTCAAAGAAAAGATTGTTTATGAGCCTAGAATTTAAAGGTGACCTAGCATTGGATGTACTAACAAATCGTCTATGCAGACCAATCAATAGAACTTTCTTTGCAGCAAGACTTCAGTTGACTTTTATCAGCCGTAAGCTACTCTCCATTTGTGTTCGGATAAGCTTCTTCTTTTGGCCACCTCTATGTACATCTACCAGTTCACCTGCTACTGTGGAACAAGGTACATCGGCCGTAGCCACAGAATGCTTTCTACACGTATACGAGAACATGTTCATGCTTGGCTTTATAAAGGTGACCGAAAGTCTGTTCGAAGTTCGACTCTAGAACATTTGAATGGTCCCCATCACTCAACAAACCCAGACAATGACTTGAATAATATTTTGAGGGAGTTGTAGAAATTTGGAAATATTTCAAGTTGTTATTCATCGTAGACTGGCACTAGTTGGAGGAACAAAGGAAACCTGGGAGCAGCTGATGTCAGTCTACGATGAATAACAACTTTAAATATTATTTATCAAATTTCCCCAAACCTCCCACTTTTTCAACTTCTTAAAACAGCGGAGGCTTTAGCTATTCATGAACTTAAACGTGATCTGTGTGTGCACTGTATTTATCATGGCCATAACATTTTCCCACCCTATTAGCTTCCCCCCTCCTTTGTTAACTTAACTTTTGTCACCTTCCTTTATCATTATTATTGTTATTATGATTGCTTAATCTTTTTTTAGAAAACATCGATTTCATCTTGACTCACTTGTCTAATCCTATTACATAATACTTAATTGGTTTACCACTTTCATAGATTTTTTTATCCCCTTCTGAGTTACATACCTTCTATGAACCATTCCATATATCACACAGTCTACTTTGTTATCATTCACACTTCAGTTGTTATCGTAATCACAAATGCCTATGTCATCATCCATATTATTATTATTATTATTGTCATCATCATCATATAGTGTTCAGTTTTCCTCATGGGATATAATTTTTCAAATAACATATATATACGATTGTACAGTTTGAAAATAAATTCATTGAAAAGAGTCTCTTCGCTGAATATCCTGTCCTTGATATTTTCACGATGTTGATGTAATCATCTGCATGTGATTACTGCTCACATCCACTTTTCATCCTCCTCAAATGTTCACGAAATATTCCTCGTTGTTCTACATGTTGGAAACATTTTAGTGACCTTCTCAACATTTTGTTCACTTAAACTCATTTCATGCATTTTTTAGTTGGTGTAATAAAATTTCACAAAGAAAAACGGATGACATTCATGAAATGAAATGATACCATTAAATCAAATTGAACTTATCTGTTAATGACAATGCTTTAACTATCCAATGTAGCATTTATTCCAGGAGTTTCACTGGAACAAAATTCTTACCTGGAAGTAGAGTAAAATGTTATCACTGACTGAATAAACCGAACCATTGTCACAAAACACTGCTGATTGGTTGTAACTTGATTCACATGGTCTGATCATCAAATGATTGGTTAAACTTTACCCAACTATCAAATCGGAGTGTATATATAAAGGTCAGGAGATTGTGAGATGATATTGCATATCTGACACTATTGTCACTATCATGTATTTCATAACACCTCTTATCGTTTTCAGCCTTCTTTTCAGCTGCATAGAATGTAAGTGAATAGAACTACATCGAGCTTTTCAGTATGCAATAATACATTGAGTAACCTATCGTATTTTGACATATACAGTAGACATCAACTTTCCATATCTCAAGCTTTTCTTGAAATTGAATCGTTCTACCTGGTGACTTTATCTTGTTAATTGCGTAAATGTTGCTCTCTATCTTTGATAAATTCTGTTGAAAATCTACCAATGCTCAAAAGACTGACTGACTGATCTCCATTTTCTGTAGGTGACTTTGGCTGGATTTTTCGTGACGCTTTGTAGGTTATCTTAAGCATAGCAGGTGATCATATTGATCGTTCCTTCATTTGTTTATCACATTTGTGATTACTGGAGTTGTGGTGAGTGACTTGTAATTCGTCTTTGTGGTGCTAGGTCTAAAGTCATGAATCATGTTTGTTTCAGTTTCTGTTGATGATTTGGATATACACGGATGTGTTCAGACTTTGATCTCACTTTTCTCCTACAAATATCCATTTGTGAACAAATATTGACCCAAGGTAACCGAGCATTGGATGGAGCCAAGCTCTCAGATGAGAAATCTCTGGCTTCATACCAGAGTGTGTATATTTTTGAATGTCGATTTGACCCGTTATGCTCTAGCTAGATATTAAGTATGAAGTTTATGATATTACAGAAAATAAACTGTCGTGTGAAGATTTATATTGAATTTCTAACTAGAGTATTTACACAAATTTGTTGATATGATTTTGAGTAGTTGGTCCATGTGAGCAGATATTGATCAGCCACAACCAGTATGAAACTTTAATTGCAGAGCAAATTGCTGCTATTAACCACTCAAAGTAAGATATGCTATGTAGGTGTTCAAGGTTTCCGAAATGATTGACTACACTATAGAGTAGATGGATAGAATATTGTAAATACTGAGAGGAGGACAAAATGACAGATTTGCATAGACGGTCTCAAGTTTATGAAACAGTTTAGGTTAGACAACCTGATTGTCTCATGTAGTTTAGAATAACTTCTCGGAACATAATTTCCGGCAACCTTTTTTGAATGTGACACTTTTCTCTTAACGTCAGTGAATAACAGTTTCTGAGCGAAAAGCTTATTAATATCAACATATCTGGTTGAAAATAAGAATTCAGTGTCGTTTTTATGAAGCCTCTAGATATCAGTAGATAGGTGAAATTATTAATTAGACCAGTGGGCCATTTCTTGTCTTCTTGGCTATGCTTATCAAGGTTCATTCAGACAAATTCAGTTTAAAATAACCACTTCACCAAGAAGTACATTTAACGTCGGCCAAGCACTAAATGACTTTTAGGGAAGGCCAAAACCGAAAATAATTTTTATGATTGGTAATTTGCATTGGGCTTCTATAGTGATACAAACTGTTGTTGAAGAAAGTACTGTCCAACTCAAGTAATCCAGGCATGTTTGTTTACACGACGTTTTGATATTTTTCACTTAACCAGGTGTGAGAGAGTGAGTTAAAAGTATTTTAAATTCTGCATTGTTTCCAAATGCATTTCTGTTTGAGAGATCTCATAGGACATTACATGATATTGTAAGGACTCTCATTCCACTGGTTTCCTGAATGTTGGCTAACGTAATGTCAGCCCTAATTGAGGTTCTATAGGATGCGTGAAGTTCGGTCACCTTCGTAGTAACAGTGTCTTCATAATAGCTTCCACTCTGAAGATTCATCGCATGTATATTGCTGGAAATATACACGAAAATGCAGTTCATTGAGAAGGTCATCCTGAGATCTGCTACACCACGTGGTCATAATTCAGCTTTCGAAGGGAATACTGAAATATTTTCATTTCCATCAATTTAAACAACACAATACACGAATTACCTTTGTGACTACTGCAGTTTACCACACTTGTGAGGAGTCTCTCATTGCACAAACCATTCACAGTTTCACCAGATTTCAAAAAGCAGAAGCACAGTACCATTTTTATTTATGACTCTGATGAATTGAGATTTTAAATAATTTAACTGTTGAGTAAGGTGTTCTGTTTCCGCTCCATGATTCATAATCATCCACAGATATCAAGTGACTTCAGAAAACAGAATTCTTAACACTCAGTTTATCTGTTCGAATAAAGATTGAGTTGTTAGCAAGCTGCACTTCACCACTTTGACAGTGTTTCAAACCAAATCATATGAAAAGAATAGGTGAGATTCTAAGCCTCTGAAACACGACATGGAGTTGACGTAAGAACAACAATTCAGGCTTTCTGCATCCTCTCCATCATCAAGTGTACATTCTGTCAGCAACCTCGAGAAAACTCCCACTTTGTCATAGAATCAAATGTCACTTGGTCTGTCACCACTTACAGAACCAGCTATCTAGACTAAAACTTGTGGTAGGCCAACTATGTGTCTTCTGTTTGTTTACAGTTGCTATTCTTATGTGATTAGTCAACTTAGGTAGTTATATTGGACGAAGTAATTGCTAAACTTCAAAAGACGTTCTAGAATATGGCACGAACAATTATTGAGCATTTATCGTTTTCAACACTCCAGTTGAAGTTTCCAAAGGAAAAGAAGAGAGCTGGAATGTGGCCTAGGTTGTCGAAATCTTAACACTGCTTGCTCTTCACTAAGAAATGTGTTCGTGCCAGACATTTGACTAGAGCTTCTCTACTTAAATAATTTATCACTAAATTACTGTTGTTATTATTGTTCTCATTTTTTTAATCTTATAACACGTGGGCATTTAGGGTTTCTAACGGACATGACACAGCAACTAAGACGTGAGTGACTTTATCAACCTGCTTCAAATATCCTGCATAGATACATTATTGCAAAAGATTTTATTGCTATTCAATTTCACGGTGTCAGGATATTTCGATGTGTACTTCACGGTCTACTGTGACGGTTATTTTCTAAATTATAACAATGATGACCAGCCAGAATATTAGTCCAAAGAAAACAAACGGTTACTCTTATAGTTCAGCCTCAAGACGACATTACGATAAGGCCATTGACAGATGAGAAGTAAACTAGTCGAAATCATACTGATATCAGTGATCACTAAACTGACTAGTGAAACGTGTATATTCTTCACTTGCATATGCCATCTTGTGCGTCAGTGAACACCACAGACTACTGAGCTCAGTCTTCAACGCCACATCCACATAATCTATTCGGGTACATTACGGATGTGCATTTAGCTTTTTAAGCAGATTGTCAATTTATGATTCTGCTCGTCATTGGACTCAAAGGAAAAGTGAGTACCCATCAAGTTAGAAACAAGCCTACTGATTCACACTGCCAAAAGCCTTATTAGGAATCAATTTCATTTACCCGTCCTTCAATGCATACATGACTGCATTTGAGGATATATACAAAACGGCAGGACCGTCTGGGATATTTTCAGTTGAGAAGTCAAAAGTTGTTTTGTAGATTGTGGCTTGTTGTTTTATTCAAATACCAGAATAAACTTGTTCTGTCATAGTGCAAGATAGGTGGTGACGGCAAAGAAAGAAGTTTCTTGTGGTAGTAGTAGTAGTAGTAGTAGTAGTACTAGTACTAGTACTAGTACTAGTACTAGTAGTAGTGGAAGTGGTAGAAGATCCCAAAGTAATTCCTGTTAAAACATCGCGATAACGTGCAGAACAAGGAAGACCTATGTAATTTATACAGGGGTTTGGAATTGTGAAGGAAAGAAATGGTTGAAGAGGAAAGTACAGTTACACAATGAGGAAATTATCTATAAGCATCAATGCTTTGCAATAGCCATGACAATGAAGAAGGATGTAGAAACCTCTGAAAAGAAAGTCGTGGTCTGAACTTTTGAACTGCTAATGCTTCAGCTGCACCCAGCAGTCCTAACCGTACTACTTGCCGATCTCTACCGGTTTGGATAGAATCGTTAGACCTCTAACGGTGTAGAGACTACTGCATGAATACCTCAATGTGGCCAATGCTTAGCGACTAACGTTGAACTTCCAACTCAGTAGTCCAGTAGAAAACACTCTGGAATATGGTGTGATACACGCTGGCTTTGAGTAACAGTGAGGACACCAACACTCGCTGAGATGGAGGAGCATCCAGCTGACAAGTCTGCAGAGGGAAGAAACGAAAATTGCTGATTCCATTGATAGTCACTTTCTGTGCCTAATTGAAAAATGAAATTGCTGGCTGTATTGAGGTATCCGCAGTAGAGTCCACATCCCAACTGTTTAAATAAGTAACTGGACTTCTGCGGGATTTGCAATAAAATGTCATTTGATTGGTATTTCTAGATATTTCTGGTCCTGTTTCTCCAAGAATTGTGTAACGCTTACATCAATGATACACCTAAGATGAATAAGTTAGTCTCATATGGTCATTGACGAAAGCTGCTCAGGAATCCAGACCAGTTGTAGGAAATTTAGGGAGGTTCACAAAAAAAGCTGTTGTAATTCATGAGTCTATCCCTCCACATATGACAGGTCGGTATGATAATCAGTGCCCTGGTAACGAAAGTTGGGGTTTGGGCAATTTTGTAAGAACTTGCCATGAGAGTATCTTTTCTTTGTCTCTAGAAATATCCTATTCTGGAGTGGTCAACAGCATTTTTGATGTCCTTGTTAGTGCCTTGAAATACTAGGCAATGTCTGGAACATATAAGCCGGTAAGTAGGCGTTTTGACTGAGGTATTCAATGGGATAAGCTTTCTAAAGGTCAATGCTTCAAAGACATTCCACTTACTGTCTTCAGTGTCTATTAAAAATCGTGAACGCGAAGAAGAAAGTCAGCCGCTGTAGTTACTCGATGTTTGCGCGAGGCTTTTATAATTAATTCTATCAGCATATAACGATTGCCTATCACATACAAGTGTCCGAAAGCATTCACTTCAGTTTTAGTAGTTACTTGCCAGCATCATGTTTCATTGCGGAACATGAAATGTACAATAGAGGAGATACTGATAACAGTCGACCTAGTTAGAAATGAAACTTTTCAGAAGGGTGTCCTCACAGTCTATCACCACATTTTAAGAACAACCAATGCGTTTTACAAGCACATAAACTAATGAATGTGGTAAGGAGGGATGTACAATACTTTAAGTGATTTTTCTTTTCCAAATTAATTCATGTTATACTTAATAACCCCATTGCTTTTCACAAAAGATTGGATCTCGTTCAACAAGTGTAAGTCAAGAAACTGAAATGTTTTTGCTTTCTCAGTTGACATAATAGTGTCAGATGAGATAGGATGAGAAAAAGTTTCACAACATAATTTCGTGTGCTTTGGTTAATGGGACGCTGAACAGACCCCCACTGTTCACTTCAACACTTTCGAGGTTTTATAAGGGTTGAAAAATATCCGATTTCCTTCATTTCAACCGTTGGAGTAATAAAAAATGATGCTGAATCCAACCAACCATCAGTACGCAACTAATAGCAATCAATAATTGAACGTGGTTTGATGTAATCTGTTCAGCATAGCAACCGTACTAGAAGTTCAGTGTGCATATGTCATTGATGTCCAAGCCCAATACATAAGTAAATAATGGGACGGAATATCCATATTCAGTGCATTGACTGATCCACGTAGGTTAACCAATTTCATGCTGTCCAGTCATGAGAGGTGACCCAATTCTATGCAATGTGACCTACCAAGTAGAAGGCTCACTATGCTGCAGCATTCTTATGGATGTTAGTTCGGAAGCATATGCTTAGAAATCCCCAATGTACTCAAGGTATTCTTCAGAGTTAAATACCTAGAATACGTCATGAAAGCTGTCTGTCTATGAAAGGTATTGTACAGAGGATGAAGTTTGTCAGAACACTGTGTTTCATCTAAAGTACACTGTTTACACTCTATTTGTGTGCGTTCAACTTCGGTAGATACTTGAATATGGATTGTAAAGCCTCATCGCTGTACACCTTATCGATCACTCAACATCAAAGAATATGTCACCAAACAATAACAGTTGACTTTAGTGATATATTCATGAAACTGAAAATATCATTTCACAGACGACGTGTCTCATAACTAGTCAGATTGAACTCAACAGTTTATTTATGTATGCACTTTCATAAAAAGGCACAGTAACCAAGTCAGGGGGAACAAACCTGGAATTATTACCATACAAAAGAAACCATTGCTCATGAAATTGCAATTTAATGGGGATGTAGCAGGAGACGTTTTACATCAGAGATTCTGTAGAGTCATGAGAGGACCTTTTACAAAACAAACGTCTATCTATCATTCTTCAGTCGACCAATTGTTGCTGCTCAGACAAAAGATAAGGTATCTAACTTTGCCGTTTCTATGTGAATATACAAGTTTAGCTGCTTTTGTCGAGAAACCCCAAATAGGGTGTACTACTAGACAACTTGACAAACGTGTTGCTGTGCATCCACCTCCATGGTTCGGAAAGGGGCAGGTGAAGGCTGTTAGAAGTTCGGTTGTCACTTGGTAGATAATAACAATGCTTTCATGATTATTCACAGCATACCATCTCATCTTCCGAAAGGTATTCAAAGTCGTCTTTTACAGATAGCAGAAGGTGTGGCAAGTCGAGCTAATAATCCTAGTCTTTGTATGCAGAAGAAGATGGTACATCCCTCATTTCTCATTGGCCAGAGAATACTTAGTTAACAAGTTTATCATTCGGTTTTTCTCCTACCCACTTTTCTTATTCTTCACCCCTTTCACATACTCAGTGTACTTGTCTAGGCTTTGTTTATCCACTTACCTCGTCATTCGGTATTTATTATCAATATTTCTACTACTTGTCGTTTGGGTTCCTAGTGAAACATAGGGCTTCAGTAGCACGTCCCTATTCCACTCTGTTCTCTGCAGTCTTTTCAGGCTGACTCCATTGCTACCCAGAAGCCTTCATTTCTTCCCCACAAGATCCCCTCCATCTCAATGATTTCAGAATAATGAAGGCCTGTCTCGCTTTTCCATACCCATCTGTGCCACCTGTAGTTGAAACGATGCTGCCTAGGTAGGTGGGTAGGTAGGAGAAGGAGACAACTTCGTCTAGACTTCTCCAGTTGATGGTGATTGGTTCTTGTTGTTGTTAGTTGGGTACTTTCATCACCTGTGTCTTCTCTACATTCACTCGAAGTCCCGTCTTCGCTGCCATGCCTCTTCTGTCAACTCGCTGGTTTTCGCTTGTGGATCTTCGAGTCTGTTCGACACTAGACAGAAATTATCATCGGCGAAATCCAACACTTCTTCTGGTGTCTTTTCATCGGTCCAGCCTGCGTATACCCATCTTCTCACAGCTCCTCACAGTTATTTGTTGTATGATCCAGTCCAGTCCAGTCGACCGCAATCCGGGAACTCATTGGTGATAGTTGGTGGCAACCTTGTCTTACTCCTGTCTTCACTTCAAAGACATCACTGAGCTTTCCATTGTGTTGTGAGTCACTTGGCATGTAGCATCATACAGCATATAGCTGTTGAATGACGTTGATAAAGGTTTGTGGCACTAAAACCGTAGTGTTGAAGCAGTTTCCAAATTACTTCTCGGCTGACGCTACAGAAGGCCCTCTCAAAGTCGATGAAGTTGAGGTGAAGTGTTGACCGCCATTCTATGCTCTGTTCTGTGATTATGCATAGTGTTGCAATTTGATCCACTTCCTTATTTTTCTTGAATCCAGCATGTCCTGGCATATACTTTGAATCCAGTGAATCCTTCAGTCTCTTAAGGACGATGTGGCTTAATATTTTGCTTTGGGTGGACATCAGTATGATTCCATGCCAGTTCTTGCAAATGCTTAGGTCTCCCTTTTTGGTTGTATTGTGTTCTCTGAGCTGGGTTGTTTAATCGGGAGTTTGACAAGGTAGGCCTTCTTCCAGTCAACGGGCAGGTACCTTTCCTTCCTTCCAAACCCTCTGCAGTAGTGGTGTGAACACGTACACTGTTGTCTCTGCGTCCATTTTCAATGCTTCTGGCGGAATTCCATCCGGTCCTGCTGCTTTCCCAAATTTCAGTGGTTTTACGGCATTCAGGACTTCACTGCTACTTTCGTCAGAGCGGTTAAGTTCACTGGTAGTTCTGTGGCTGCGCTGCCGGAGGTATTCCTAGACGAGTTGCAGCTGTAAGTGGTCGATTCAAGAGTTTTTCGAAGTAGTCAGCCTGTCGTTTCCTTTGTTTTTCCTCTTTGCTTTCCTGTACTATCTTTCATTGGTTTCATCTGTGTTGATCTCTTCCCTCTCAGGTAGTAACCTGGTTATGTGATATAATGTTGCCAGTTTTCTCTTACTAGCCTTCATCCTGTTCTGGTTCACTTGCCAGTGTGTAGTAGAAGTGTCTTTTGTCCTTCCGCGCACTCGTCTTCACTTCTTCGTCCAGTGCTTTGTGAGTTGTAATCTATTCCCCTTTTCGTTGTTCATCCCTGCACTGAACTGCACCGGTTCATCTTCTGTTTCACCATCTTCTTGTCATCTATCAGCTTCCGTGTGTCCATCTACATCCATTCCTTGACTTGTTTCTTCTTCCTTCCCAACATGGTTATGCAGGTTTACTTCCACGTCTCTTTCAAACAGTTCCAGTGTTATTCCACTCAGCTTTCTTCATGAATACCGCTTAATGTCTCCTATTTTTTCCTGTTAGCTGACATGAATATGTTCTTTGTAGTTTCCTCCTTCAGTTTTTGTTCTAGGTGTTGGATTTGAACTGTGGTCTATTACCAACTTCTTTGAAGGCCTTCAACTTGGCTTTGAAAGTAGATTTCTTGCACCAGACAGTGTGTGGTCTGAACCACCAACATCTGCTACCCTTCTTCATCTGATCTTGTGTCCAGTAGACTGACTGCATCTCCACTTTCTTCACACTGAGATGAAGTCGATCTGATTTTAAGTGTAGTGTGTCCTGGTGTCTGGTGAAATCAAATCCATGTCACTTTGTGGATATCCTTGTGTTTGTACACACTACCTCCAATCACCAAATCATCGAAGGCGCAGAAGTCTCCAAACAGTTCTCCATTCTCCTTCATTTCATCTAGTGCTCCTTGACTCATGATTAGTTATCTTCCTGTGTTGTCTGCTCCCAGTTTGGCATTCATGTCAACCCACCCATCAGAATTTCGACGTCGCCATCTTGCATCGAGTCTTGTTCATCAGTGATTGCCATTGTCCAAAGGATTCCTCCTTCTTCTCTTCATCTGCATTATTTGTAGATGCGTAGCGTAGCGTAGCATTGTATGATTGTCACTTTCCTTCCTTTCCAGTTCAATCCATCTTGCTGTCATGATCCTCATCCTGCAGGAGGAGATTGCTTCCCACTGCATCAGACAGAGAGCCTTCGATGCTGTTGAGGACATCATGGTAGCCACTCGACAACTCAGTGTCCTTGTGGTAGTCGTCTGGATGACGATATCGGAGTAGATTATTGACTCATCTCCAGTTGACAGTTTGGACAGTCCACTTCCATTCCATCTACTTTCGTAGATTCCTAGCATTTCAGTGCTATACCTTCTCATCTCTTTTACAATCTGGGCAGCCTTGCTAAGTTCAAACATAGTGCGGACATTCCATATCCCTATGTTTACTTTCGTTGTCATTGAGAGAGAGAGAGAGAGGAGACACATCGGCCAATTGGCTTCTTGGAGGCTTTCACCAACTGGCATCATTTCGTCTCCCCGATTCAGGTGAGGAATAAGTTCATTTTTTATATTTTCTGTGCTTTGAAGTTTCCTTATCAGTTAGATTGGTTTTCCGTGGTAGAGTTTCTAGCCTTATGCCTAACCTTCCCTTCTTTATACGCCTCAGGACCGGCTAGTAACTAGTAAACTAATAAACTAGGCGAGATCCCCTTAGTACTACTCAACTTTATTTTCTCAAGCGTTTGACTCACTTTGATTATGGGAGTGTTTACATTTTCACTGTCCTTTCCTACTTCTTACCATCACTTTCATCTATATTGCATGTGCTTTAGTCAATGTTATCACTTTCATCATTCATTTTCCTTTCACTTTATCATGATTATTGTTTTAAAATATTTATCACTTCAGCCTACAAATCTACATGACTGGTTCAATTTTACATATATCAAGCGATTTGTATTAGAGTAAAGTATGGAGAGGATCTAATTGGAAACAATATTGTTCGCTTATATGTCTTGTTCTAATTTACATGATGGTTAAACGTTAACTTGTGTTACTTTCTTCACAGACTTTGGTATGTTAAATATTCAATGGTTAAATAACATAATGTTTTATTGTACATTATGTAGCACCAATTTTAAATCAGATATGCCTGTTTATTCATTGACTGTCTTGGTGAATGATAATTATGTTTGTGCACCGACCAAAAAGTGTTTTTCATCAAGTGAAGTGATAGTTGGTGGCTTTGTGGGTAAATTCAACTTTGAATAAAGCAAATACGCAGGTGTTCATAAATGTCCAGTGGGGAACGTAAATCTAAATATCGAACAGAGCCAAACTCACAGAAGAAGCCTTTTGTTCTGGTTAAGAGTTAATTCCTGTTAAACATCTACGCTGTTTAATTTCTGTGTCAATTTTGCCAAACAAATTTTGTTACTATGAGTATTACGTTGATCCGGTTTGTTATTATTCTCTTATTTCAGGGGAGGCGCGTAAGTGAAATGACAAGTGCAAAGATTTGGACAAAAACAACAATTCTGAATGCATTTTTATCCTGAAAAATTCTTCTCCATTCATTTTTCACCTACTGTTTAATTAAGATGAGTTAATAAGAACGTTTCATCATAAAGACAGCAAACACGCATGAGTGAGGTGAAGAAGTGCAGAACTGCACCTCACTCACCACTGGTTGAGATGGATAATTAGAAACCACAGTAGTAAATCAGTAGTGGTATCTCCCAGTCAGATGGAGATAATTCAAACGCAATGGGAGTTTCGTTCACTAGCAACTAAGAATCGTGAATAGGTTTATTTTGATTGTGCCTATTATCCCTCGACTAAACAGTTAACCAGTTTCCGTGTTGATTGAACGTTTTATATCAATCTGCGGACACCACTGATGGTCTTAGCCCCAAACGAACTAAACGACTATACACTGATAAAATCACCTTTGTGTGTTGATTATCAAGGTGTTGGCTATTTGCAGTCACATATCTCTTTTCATAACATGGTGGCTGTATGCTACTATGTAGTTGTGAAAGTGCTAATCTGTTGTGAATTTCTCACTGTCACCCATTACTCAGGCAGGTCAATGTACTTAGGTCCCTACTCCAGAGTATTGAGTATTAGTAGTAGGTGTTATGAGCAAAGTCAACTGTAGCTCTGGTTTGCGTGCATATGGAAAGAGGTGAAGACTACGAAGTACGTCGAGTTGCCTGAAGGATATCTGAAATATTCATTTTGTTACTTTTGTTTAAGATATTCTCATTCACTTGAGGATACAATATCCCCATTGTTGTTTTTCAATATGGCAGAAAAATAATGGTACATATAACAGTCAGATTTCACTTTGTATAAAAAGATAAACGTATTTGCAGACTAGGCTATTCCCAACCACATTGTCCCACTCAGTTTACAAGGGGAATTTCTGCGACTACGAAGTTTACCACATACCGTGGCTATCCACTGCCTATCTTTCTGTGTAAAAGTATGTAGGAGTTAGTGGGAGGTGAATATGTTATTAAAATATAGTCAGACCCTTATTTTTGTTTTCGATGAGTACTGACTGATGGAGAAACAACTCAAACTGAAGTATTTTGAAAACGCTTTTTCAAACCAACATTTGATCATTCCTCCTGGGGACTGCAAGAATAAGAATGAGAAAATAGTGTAAAACTTAATTTTGATTAGAAATTTCAGTGAGCTATCAATTAATGACACACTTTATCATTTCAGGAAAGAGTGAGTTCACTTCATTATTTTACACCACAATATTCTCGCTTCATTTGAACTGAATACGTTTTAACAAAAATATTGTGTCAACTGAGTGTCTTATGTCATTCACAACTCATCAGCTGTATGTCTGAGTGGATTTTTGGGTCTTATGGATGACAAAACTGGTGAGTTCTAAGTAAAGAAAGCAAATTATAGCTGAGTTAGTTGACAAGGAATAAGGTGATAGATGAAGCGGCTAATGGTGTAAGACGATAGAGGAAGAAAAGCTTAGACACACTGAACCTATCACCAGTAGACATTACACAAAGTTGTTGGTAGGATGAGACTTGGATCCACGAACTTCTGTGTTGCTGGCTGGATGGTTGACAAACCCGCAACACAGTCAGCAATCACTCGTCACTCAATTCACAACAACTCAATCAATGCTAACATCCACATAGGTATACGATTATGATCATGTGATGTCAAGAACAATATTGACATTCATTTTGCTATGAAGCATTTTCATTCAATATCTTTCTGGGTACGAAGCAATAATTCAGATATCAGACTACAGACAAGGACAAACAGACTCGAAATATGAAGTATATGAAGCCTAATGTCTGTTTGTCGTGAAATCTTATGCAGATGTCGCTTTGAAGCATTAAACAGCATGATATAATAGGACTGAGAGTTGCAACGAATGAATATTTTGACATGATTCACATGCTTTGCATAAAAAATTTACTTATCGAAGTGATAAATGGAATTGTAATCACAAACTGACTTGGTGTAAACTGTAAATTATTCAGCCGTCGACTTACTGCAGACTTGTAAGTTTATTGTTCTTACAGAGCTGATAATTACAACATTTTCTCTATATGAATGTTTGAAGACGGTGAACATGCAACATATATGGTATGACTAGACAATATGTGAACTTGTTAAAATGTGACATTGAATTGGTGTTTGAATTTGAGGTGAAACAACGTGTAATGCTGATGTCCGTGGATAAGAGAACACTGTTGATCTACTGAACAACTTTAATCTGATGTATTCGGATATGTATGCTGAAGGGTGGTTTTGGTGAATTGGTCAAAATACTTATTGGGCTACTATCATCGAGTTTTCTTGAGAAAGTGCAACTTTCCATCTCATATAGGTTGGATTGCTTTTCAAGTAGTGTGGGTACTTTGTGATGAAGATACTTGCTTTGTACATTCGTAAGAATCAGGCGTTGTCAGATAATCACTGACTTCGACTCGCCATTTCATGCATTTTCCCCACCAGCATGGTACATATTTTATGGAGGAGTCTTGTAATTTCTGTTCAGAAATGAGCAGTGCAAGTATAGGTTACGCCTACTCCACGGGCTAGATAGTAAAATGATTTTACTTTAACTCATATGTCAGGCTACATATCCTCATATTAACAGAACTAGAATTTTAATCTCAGCTACACTGATCATTGAAATTGGTTGTTTGTTAAACATTCACCTTGTCCAATAACTGATTCCATGTAGCATGCTGAACTGAACTTTTTAACGGATTGCGTTCATTCCATCATGTCTGCTAGTTTCTCAGAAGTTTTAAGACTCAGTTCTCCAAAGAGTTCACCATTCGAACAGTTTTATAGATCTTCACCTCCAGAACTGAAAAGAAGTCATTGTCTTGGTTGTGAGTAATGATGGACTCTTTGGCTCAGTAGCTCATCGGTGAATACATAAATGATTGCAAAGTGGTTAACCAGCCTCAGCAGGTTAGTATTGCATGAATTTTACGTAGTTTCAATTCCGTACATATAACGTAGCTTTGCTTCTGTATACAGAAGAGTTCTAGATATTGTACGGCAAAGGTTGTCCCTACTGCTTTCAAGTATGACATGTTAGCATCAGGTGATCACAGGAGCTGCATAATGAAGTCAGAAACATTCCTGACATCAGGAATTGTGTAAACATCTTTCTTACGTAATGCCTGATTTTAGTTAGATGCTTTATCAAAGCTACATGGATACTTGTTCTTCATGAAAGCAGACTGGATGACCTGTCTTCAGACGTTCACGACAGATTCAACTGAACTGTGTCATTGTTTTGTTGGCTACTGTTCTTCAGTCACCAAGATGCTTCTGGAGGACTAGGATATGAATTATATGAAGAAATGTCCTGCGCATCTGTGTCTGAGTCAATGTACATTTTCTTTCAGGACTGAAACATGCGAAGATAGCAGTTTCTCAAAAAGTCAATGTTCGTTCACGAATTCGAAGTATATGTGAAAACTATCACATGGTTTGAACCTGCTTCATTTCCCGACGTTATAACTATCCGACACCAAGCTCGTCCAATTCTTTCATCAAGTGGTTGACGTAGTTTCATCACTACTTATTTGTCGGTGTAGCTCAGCCTCTGTTTAGCCTTTCAGTACAATTTACCAGTCCTGCTCTCGCGTTACATCTCTTCTCACCATTCCAAACTCAAAATCTTATTTTAGTCCGTTAGTTTTAATGAGCCTCAGGAAAAATCTCCTTCTCCATTATCATGGGATTACTCAAACTGATATCAGCCTTGGATTATCTGACAGTTCCAAAAAAGTTCAGGTACACTAGGAGATTCTCTGTGCAGGGTATTAAAACAAAGATTACACGTTCACGAACAAGAACACTCGAATTCAGTAGATGAGCAAAACACTAGTCAAACTGAAATTAATGCCCACTTTTTCATTTTCTACAAAATCGTTTCTTATGTAAAAGATGAATTTTAACATTTACAGGCTATACAAAGTTGGTTATGGGTAAGTTTCATTTGAATTTACTAGCATGAATCAAATATTACAAGTGGTGTGTTAACGCTTCCTAGAGTGCACGTTTTCACAATACATAGTAATACTATGTATTGCATTTCATGAGATCATCTCATGAAGTAAGTCACTGCGTTTGTATTAGATCCTCATGATTCAGTGCTTATTCTATCTTCCTGTGTATTTCACATCTGTCTGTTAATGTTTGACAGGTTGGGAGTAATCAGCATAACGTATGTTCCCACCATTACATTTTGCCTTGTATGCGTAAATGTTTGAAAAATGCATTGAATAGGCTTGTTTATCATAACATGAAGTTGAATGTGGACCATATTCATGATATTCACCTTTCTGGGGTTTTCATCTCGTAACCATGCATGACAGTTTAGTTATTTTCGCAATCGTCATGCGTCAAGCTAGATGGAAGACAAAGGCATTGACTTGACAAAAAAGTATGTGATTGTATATGAACCAGTAGTCTGCTTCAATAGCAGCACATGTGGTTTCGTCACCGAAACTTATCAGCTTCAGTCAATATTAGTCGTATGTAGGGAGAATGAACTAAGTTGGAGAAAAGTCCAGATTGTGGTAGGGTTTGACTGTAAAAAAAATATGGAAATCATTTTCAGGGCATTCACTTTTATCTAAAGTACTTGAGAGCACTAGTTATAACTTAACGGCAATGCTAATCACCTTCTGCTTTGAAACCATTTGAGTGATAACATATTTTCTATCATGGTGTGTAGGCTTGAATGAACTCACTATGTTCGTTCTCAAAGAAGCTTCGTAGTGGTCTGTTTTGAAGTCAGTCTGTTTATCTAAATTAGTAAAATGACCTATGGATTGAATTTTTCGCTATAAGATCTCTTTGCTAGAGCGAATTAGTTCCAGTGTAATGTTCATCACAGACTGATATCCGTCTCATCGTAGTGTGGGACTACTCAGCAATGTGCACCTTCAGCTACACAAGAAATTGAACCAATTACCATCATGCACGTTGTGTATAAACTCCTAGATTGGTATTAACTGGTTCAAAATTTCCTACTTCTGTCAATTCAAGAAAATATCGCGACCATTATCCAGTGACTTCAAAGAGTAATTTTCTTCAATCTTGACATAGTTAACCCACAGGTTAACGTTTCACATCTGTCTTGATGCATATCACTAATAGGGACTATAGGGATATCGGTATGTGGAGAATTTCACTTTGAAATGAATAAATCATCTCAAACGTCAAAAATGGAACTGAATTAACTTGAATTGGACTGCTTATTTAAATATCAGCTTTATTTGAAAGAGTAATTTCAGGACTTGTTGTTTTGCATCGAATTCATTGACGTTTTTGGCACATGGAAGTTTCTGTGCTTGTGTGTGTGTTTGTGCATCGAAATGGCTTGAGATATCATGTCGTTTTTACGGGTAGATAGCTGTGGGTAGTGAAAATGCGGATAAAGGATTCAACTACTCGATTTCGCCACCTTTCTGTACAAGATAAAGTAGCAGTTGATGAATGTCAGCATAGATTTTGACCGCGTTCTCCTTTGATAAGATGTAGACAACACGTTTCTCTGTGTTGAGTCTTGTAATCTCGAGAAAACATGATATGTGCACAGTCGATGGTCACGTTTAAGTAGCAGGAAATTTCACATCTTGCTTATGGATAGATAGTGGCATACCATGTAAACGCCTGTCTTGCATTCACCTAACAGCCGTTATCTCTCCTCACTATGATAGAGTCTTACTTCAGAATTTATCACATTCATCATACTGACATTCCGTGTAAAATGTTTCTTTTTCAAAAGACAAAAACGCATAAGAACATCGTAAGTGATTTGTGCTTCTTAGTTTCATAATCCAATGGACATTATGGTAAATATGTTTCACATACCTTGAGTGTTTGGTATTTATCATCATATCTTCAAATAATAATCCACGGAACTTGTATTCGAATAATTTTTGACAGTGCCTCACAACTTACAATAGAAACTAAACATCAGGATCAAATTTTCAACCCAAAGCCTCAATAAACGCATCACTCAGTTAATGGGAGTGAAAAATTCCTAAAAATATCTTCAACTCTTATGCAAATATGGAACTCATATGTGACTGATAAATGAACCCTACAAGAAACTGTAATCAGAATAATTGACGCCTAGAGCAGTCTTTGACCTCTTAGAAGTAGAGACTCAACACAGTGAGAAACAGTTAAAAATTTTAAGTTCAAGATGTGAATGATATTCAATTATAGCTGTCGTAGCTTTGAGGTTTGTTCTTGGACACAGTGTCAGTAGGCTGATCGTCTTCATCATCATTCACTTCAAGATGATGAAACAGTTTAACTTGTTGATGAAAGTCTAAGGGGCGAAACCAAATTTGGTACGTTGTTCAAAATTCTGGAAATGATAACAGATGAATAAATCAGTTGTATTGTTCAAGTCATGCCAGCTAGACTTTGAGAATATTGATGAGTAGCCCGTATAGGATTGTAGGTCGATGCAAGCACTACGTAACCAAGACTCACGCCTTGTTTCTTGCCACAGTGAATAATGAATTAGGTGTCCATCTCCCATGAAACCTACTTGAAGCAGTGGAAGCTAAGGCTCTTACAGTCGAAAGATGTTATGAAGGTGAAGTAGGAGAGATGAATAAATTGACAAGAGAATGAAGTCTGTTTTCTCGTACAACCAGAGAGTATTTGAGATGCAAGATTTATTATTTACAGGAGAGTGTGGTGAAAACCACTTTTTGTTTAAAAAGCAATTCTAATATGATCATTCAATTGGATGTGATGTTTTTTTAAATTTCTAGCCACTGGATCGAGAATCCATCGTGAGTAGCAAAAGTTTGTCTGTCAACTTTGATGTATTTTAAAATTGACTGAAGTTTGATGATGAGGTAGATGTGTACTAATGACAATTGAATCCATTTTGTATTGAATTTCATTGATCAAGATAGTTTCGTTCGCTCCAATAGAGATGTTTCTCCTTCGACCTCCATTACTCATATGACTACTTCGAACCTAACTGTTGTAGAGGGTAAGGCGAAACTGATGCGAACTTGAAAACAGACGTAACACACAGTGAAGCAACCTAAGTTGAAATAGTTCCCTGGAGGCTGCCTAGATCTGAGATGATGATGTGACAGCTAGTACATGCTTACACAAGCATGGTGAGACCCTGATTGACGGAGTCTAAGCATATCTTGGATTCGAAAACACTCAGTTTATTTTGACATTGTCACCTTCTATTCATTCTATAAATTCTCCCATTTCAGATGTCACTATCCATACTCGCTGTATGTGATTCATTTTTCCTAAGCATATCGCTGATTTATCTTCTATGAATGTTTGGTTTGCTTTATTTTGATGTTACAATTGCCAGAGCGTAAGGTTATATCCATCTTAGTGTGGAGCGAACTATGAGTGACAACTGTGTAGTGTGTTGTGAAATGAGAAATTTCAGTAAATAATATTCACTACAGCTTCATTTCTTGAGAAGAAGAGTGGTACACTGATAATGTCACACAATTAGTCCAATTGTGGCTAATGAGACGTTAATCGATTGATAATTCAACGCGCTAATCAGCTTTCCAACAGGATATGGAATCCTTAAATGCTTGTGAATTGCATTATGTTAGTTACAATCCACACTTTTTAAACAGGAATATATTTCTTTAAAGATAGAATAAAGCGCCTTCTATCACCTTATTTGTTGCTCATGTGAGTAAATTTAGTATAATGTAACAATCTTCGCTTAGAATACTTAGAGTTGATTAGATCTATGTCTAGGGATTATATTGTGAGTATTGATCGAAGCCAAAACTCTTCGATAGTCAGAAGGCGGTGCCTTCAGAAAGCCCATATTGTAGTTAAATTGTCATCTGATATACAACCTTGAGATGTTAATCTTTAATAGAGATAATTACATATGAAGTTGATCAAGTACAAAATATAAGAACGTTTGCAATATGTGGTGTTGACTAGAAACCAGAATCTATTACTACGAGTTTCTAGGCATATTTATGTGTACATATCTTACGCTGGTTCACTTAGGAAGGCATGCTCAGCATCTTGCTATCGACGTTGCAGATTTCGGTTGACATCAAAATTATCTGACTTGTGTTCAATATCAAAAATTCTAGCATAACTTCAACCCCCTTATTAGTATTCATTGAAATTTATGCATTCTGTCTGTAGATGTGCCATGACAGATGTGATGTAAGTTGACTTCATTTGAATGAACAAATGTTTTTACTACTAAACTCTCCAGTGAAATTCAGTGAACTTCACTACGTAATCTATTACCTGACAATCCCTTGTTTTATGATTTTTCATGGAAACGAAGATATTCCATGGAACATTGTCGACATGTTCAAGCATAGGTTGTTTACAATGAAATATTAAATGAGGTTGAAGAAAACAAGTTCATTGTACAGTGTAAACAATAGTATTGAGGTTTGTTCAATTCATACTAAACTGGAAAGCACATAGACTTCCTTTTGTATTGTATTGTATTGATTAGCGATTAATCGTAATCAGCGTACTCAATGGGTGAAAGTTGAGTGCTAACATACCTACTATATGATAAAGTGTTTGTCACGCTAAGCATCAAGATAAAACTGGCTGAAAGTCCAACACGATCTTATAGACTACATTAAATTATTCCTTTCGTATTTGTTTTAATTACTGAAATGTCAGCTAACGGTGAATTTTGCCCATTTCTACACCTTTTGCAACTTTGTTTATCATTTGGTTGTGTTCTGTGTGGTTTATTCATGCCGGGTTAAAGTAAACCTTAGTGATGGGTAACCTTGGGAATGACTTATTGGGTTGAAGATACTGAGGCGAAAGCCATTCACTACATTCGTCTATAATGTTGCTGACTGTCCATAAACTTCTAATAAATTATGACGATGATTACGTTGTTGGTCACTTGGAGACAGTTGGATTGCTTACGAGAAGTTGAAAAGGGGAATGAGGTTATTCGATGGATGGTGTATCTTTCAGTGAGAAAAGAGATGGCTTTATCTTTTGTCTTGCTTCCTTTCCTTGAGAACATGATCAGTTTTTCAAAGAATCTCAATTAACTCATCAACAAACTATGATTTTAGTACTACATTGGGATATTGGAACATCTGTAATATCATCTGTAGCTCCATCTGATGTCAGTTAAGTTTCTTCAGTGCAGTGGTACGAAGGTATTTGCCCTCAAATAACTTGCATGTTGGATGTGAAGTTTTCTGGAGAAGGCAATGCAGTGGAAGGAGATGGATGTCTTGTTCAGAAACGTAGGTATAACCTAGGAGAACGATCCAAACAGGACTGAATAATTTACATGAGTATGTCTTCGCAAGTCATCGATTCTTGACACTGATGACCGAAATACAAAGATAGAACATTTTCAGTGAATAAAGGATAGATTAAAAGATTCTATCCTACTAGTTATAGAAAAATGGGTGGCATCTGGTACAACGATATGTAATGACATTTGGAAGTCATACATGCCACTATCTAGTATGAATTTCTCTCATCAAGTTATTGTTCACAAAAAGCAGTTAGTTGATCATACAACTGGAGTGCACACAAACAATACCGAAAACGTGTGCAGTCGTCTCAAAAGGTTACTAAGTCTCTGAACAGGATCATGTGAAGATATGTTATGGTCTCATGTGGATGAATGACAATATAGCCACTGGTATGGTTTCAAAGATGATAATTCTGTTAAGAATATAGATATTTTTATTTCTCACCTGAAATAGATTTATAAATCGTAAACAGAATAGCATTTTCTCGATTGCTTACGTTGTCCTTCATATGCTTGATCCTGATTGGTCAGTGCATAGTCGAATGTGATTGGCCGTCACTAACGTTCACTTTAATCATGTACAATGTATTGGCTATACTTATCGCGATTGTCTTGAAAAGAGTTGGGTTTATTGATGAACAATGATATTCACACATCAGAGTAATTATGACTTTAAATTATGGTAAGGAAGAATTATGATGACAGTTCCCACACTAAGGTTTGTTTTAATTGGTAGCAAATTAAGTCATAAAGAAAATCAAATGGAAGTGGTTATATTCCTGTATATGGCTGTAAACTCCTTGTCAAGTGTTCATTTGTGATGCGGTGCTCCGGTGATAATTGGGATGTTTAATGCACAACAGGTAGGAAATCATTTCAGTAGGAGGTCACCGAAAAGTTATCAAGAAGTGTGAAATGACACAGAGAGCAAATTACAGCAGCATTATGTAATGTTGGAGACTGTAAAAGAAAGCAGTCGAGTTTAGAATTTAATACCTTTCATCCTTCTCAAGGTTTATGCATGACCTTATATTTGGCAAGAAATAGTTGTTCGGCTCACTTGAAACCAAACGAAGTTCATTGCTGATGCATACTTGCATTTGAAACACTTTTGACTTGAAAGTTCTACAGTAACGGATTATTTCACTTATGCATGACAACTATGCATTGAAATATTGGTGAAGCTGAAAAATTCAAATAGCTTTCTAGCATTTAGGTGACATGAAATAAGGCACTTTTTACTTTTGTTTATACTAATTCTGTGCTTAGAGAATGTTGGGATAAATGACTGCTTATCCAGGGCGTATTATAATTATCACACATAGACACACACACACACCATAATCACTAGATTAAGAATTCTCTCTGTTCGAACTCGACAGACACACAGACCAATCAATGATTTTTCGTACTGGTGATATATATTCATAAATGCAAGACCATGGAAGAACTCAATAGTGTAGGGAGGTGGTACCGAAATGCAATACCAATACAAAATGGCATGGATGCTTGACCCTGTACATTCAGCTTGGCTAGTCCAATAAAAATGTGGGCGTCAGCAACAATATTGAATCTCAGTGAACGCTAGGCAACTGATTTTAGGGAATTAAATGCCTCCGCATTGAAGAAATATCCGGTAATAGAAGCACAGCAGACACTGTGTGACACTTGTAATCTGTGTTATGTAGTAATATTAGGAAAGAAAAGCACCGACTTCACATGTTAGGGATTCTTCTGTAGAATTTATTCCCCTCAGCTGCGAATTCATCTCCAAATTTGTTGAGTATGCGATGGTGATTTCGAAGTTTAGACCTTAGACCAATCAACCCCATACCTTAGGGTTTACGGTTCACTCTAAAAAGTTACTTAAAAACAGAATCGATGGACTTGAAAAGACTTTGATTTCATATGGACAAAATGAACATTAGTAACCTATGTTTATCGTGACAGACGACAGTCACCTACTTTTGCAGCTCATTAACTGGAACTTCAACCACTTTCCAGTTGAAGAATAACATTGACAGCATCACTTCCAGGAATGCCTCAGTTATGTCTACCGAGACTGCAGCATTCTTGGAAGCTTAGAATATGCAACTAAAACTACAAATTGCTCAGAAAATAAAAGCAGGAAGATCCAGTAGCCAGCATAATAAAAGGAAATTAATATTCACAGTGCACAATAATGTTACACAACCCACTGTTGTTCAATGAATGTTAGAAACCAAGGGGTTTAGAACAGTTACCACACTTTCTAATATGTAGGAGCTAACACTTTGGGCACAAATGCTAATTTCCCCTTACCAACCCACCAAAAACAGAAAATACAGCGATCGGTTGCCTTCAATGGATGGTTGGTTGTAATTATAACCTCTTAGGCCACACTGAATTCCATTTACTGCAACATACACTGAAGCCTATTCTCTACAATACGTAGCTGAAAACGATTGAATATGAGAGACCTGATTCAGTTCCGTTGCTCATGATCAGCTCAAAGCAGAATCCAGTCACAATCCTTTCGAGGATTACTTTTAGCCACACCCATCTTCACACAAGTGAACAACAAAATTACAAAAATCGTCAAAGTTAATAGCGGTTGGCTCTTCACTACACAACAGTTCATCATATAGCTATTACAGGAATTGAAGGGATTTTGTGGGGGTCTATTGATTTCAAGTTGGTATTCATCACGGTCTCACTTTAGTTGGAGAATCATTGGAAAACTGGGAGCTCTGCATAGTTGTTTCACCATAGTATGGGACTTCTCAACAGTACAAACCCATGGTCTTGTTAGAAATTGAACCCAGGACCTTCAGGTTCCTCAACCGGCACATTACCACTGAGCCACTGGGTCGGAATCTAATGCTCCATATTTCCTGCTTCTGTCAGTTCACATTATAGTGCCATCACCCAATGTCATCTTTGCTTATTTGTTACTTGATTGGCAAGAACTACAAATTTTTATACTGCTTGGGTGATCCTCCACCACGAAACCCACAGGGCATTTTGTATTCGCTTCTCAGTGCAACAAAGTACAATGCACAAACTAGATGATAACGTAAAGACTTCACGTTGTTGTGTCTTATTGATTATCATACTACTATTGTTAACAGTATTTAAGTCCTATTTTACTTGGTTTGATGTTTGAAGCGATGGGTACGAGGTTTTAGTCTCAGTGGGAACATCAGTCACTGGGGTGCAGGCACACTTGGCTGATGAGTCCCAAACAGGATGAAACGCCAACCATGTATTCCTCTGCTAGCCACATTCAAATAAATATTCAGGCAATATCGACGCACCTACATAGGAGCGCATATGCCAATAGAGGTCGGACAATTCGATCCAATATAACAACGGAGAATTACAAGTGCATCTACAAATAGTTATTATATTTAACTTCAATGGCTTTTTAACCTGAAAATGCTTGCTGTACAAGAAGGAAGTAAATCTACCGAAATATCACACTGAGAATTCTCTACACTATTTTGAAAGTTATTGTCTGGAATAGAGTGACTTTTATTATTAGAAGTTAATTTATTCTTGAAACATTTTGTTACAGATTCAAGGATTTCGCTTACACGTATGTTGATAATGGTGTCTGTTCAGTGATTATTTCTGCATTGAATACTTGTATATATCATGTTTTTGTAATCTCCTCTAAGTTTCTTTTAGTGGATTGGTCACTGATAACTAACCTAATGACTAGACAAACTTCATTCGATTATTGCTCTCAGAAAGGTTTGAATGAGGAACAGTCGAGAAGTTTAGACTGTATAAAACGTAAATATCTTTTCCTAGAGATACAGTTCTAAACTTCACGATGTTGGCACTTCTGAACAAGAAGAATTCATGATCAGAAATTAGCAGTGAGGTCTGTTTAGTTGTTTTGAATGCGTCCCATGTTCCACATGCATGCCAGTCGCGATGATTTTGGAATGCCTGTACTTTATTCCTAGCAGATGGATATATCGGACACAAATGTGATTTATTGAATTGTCTACTGACTGATATAATTCACTTCACTTCGGTTGGTGAATGGTAACCGTGAACTGTTTCATGACATTGAGGGTTGCGTCTGTTGAATGGAGTAATGTAATAAATAATCCACACAGAAGTAGGAAAATCCATTATCTGTAAGCTCCTAGAAACTGCAAACACCTCAGTAGGTTTTCAGAGTCAGTACACTGGATTTACACTGGAATACAATACAGTAGTCCATAAAAGCGAAATAACATAGTTTTTCTTTGAAAACTACAAATTTCACTTTGAAACAATGGAGTGAATTCATCCAAGTATTCAAAGTATACCTACCACATTTGAACTGATGAAAGTGACATTCAGTTGAAGTGTTGAAGTGCTGAATAGTGGGAGCGCTTTGCGTATGAAAAAAGTACTTACGGGGAAGAATGTTAGAGCAACTATAATTATGAGCAGCTTCACCGCATTTTCAGAATTACCAGCCGTTTCTTTCTAAGTAAATGTTGGCATGAAGAATGTCTCTGCGGTAATCTGACACAAAGTAATGAAGACTTCCAGTAATGTACTCTGACAAATTACATTAGGTTGACAACATTTCATGTTGAAGGGAATCTTATCAAGACTGGAGGTTGAAGACACGCTTGTTCGTTCCAAGCACAAACTGACTTATGACCAGCACTAGTCAGGCACCTGTTCATCAATCGGATATCTAAATCACTGTTCATAAATAGTTATCAGAACACTAATGTCAAAGTCATCTCACCACATCAAGCATATTGACTTCGAAATTGAATGAAACTAAATATGGATTCTGCTGTCATCAACTCTATGATCTTAGTGTTAGTGCTTGCTATCGAAATGTACTACTGAAACCACTCAACCTTCTTATTTATTTTACAGATCAAGCAAACGTCCTGACTTGTAAGTTTCACGCGTACAAGTTTTATGTATTGACATCTGAAGAGAACAAGTGTAACGCTTCTATAGTATATCCAGAATTTTAATCGTGTGTGACTGAGAGTCTAGAAGTAAGCTGGAATCTCAGTTGGTAAAAGTGTCTCTCAGTCCAAAAATAAGGTTAAAAGGAGGCATGTTCTGACTATTTAGCAAATAGTGAAATGAGATAGACATTCATTGTGTCTAGTGACATACCTTACAATTTATTACCACACGAATCGGAGAGATGTTGGGAACTGAAATTACGTGATTGCTGTTTGTCATCTGTACAATGAACTGGGAGGAGTCGATGGATGTGGTAGTTGAGTAGTTGCATGGTGTTACTTGTTGTTTCGTTCAACTAAGCATATTAAAGCAAACATAGAATAGGGGTTGTTTTCTTTTTGTGTTCGGTAGTCAGTCAATCAGTCAGTCTATGTAAACCATAGCAGCACATATGTATTGTCTACTAATCTAATGAACAAGTATGAAATTTTTCTCCTTCAGGGATAGAGAAACTCAAGTTTAGTAAGTTTTGTCTACTTAGATATTTTACGTTTCACAAACGAATTGGAAACATCATTTAAAATGAACAATCTGTTGAAATTATTATCATTAATTGAGATGCGGTAAAAAAAGTCAACACACTCATTTCTTTTCTTTGTCACTGCAACATTTTATATTTTATCCATAACAGCCCATACCAGAATCTTGCGTAAGTGTATTCAGAATATGCCAAAATTACTTCATTAATATTTATTCAATCATTTTAACATGGAATTTTAGTAAAATGCTGAAGTTTAGTACCAGAGTAAAATAAAACATTCATTCTGAATCAACTTCTTCAATTGATTACTTTCAGTAAGTTGAATTACATGAAATTGTTGAAGTGCATTAGTTCCAGAGGATATTTTCATCAGTTTCCTCAATAATTTATAGATCAAACAGGAATATCACTTTGGTCGAAGCTCAGGAAATGTGGAGGGCTACTAGTTTTCTTTAAACAATTTGATCAGGTATTCCACAAATACAAGAATAGTCATCATTTGGCTCAATCAATCACAGACTTAGTAGACAATGAATAGGGTGACACGTATCGGCTATAAGGGAGTATCGAAAAATTTGAAAGGATTTCAAGATATCTCTTAAATTGTAGGTCTCATTTGATAGGATAGTCAACATTTTAATTTGAGGAAGCAAACAGCATTCATGTCATGTTCACTCAGTGTTCATGTAATTGTGCAACACATTGACTTGAATGACACCTTCTAGCATTTTTTCTTACATCCGCACGAATTAATCTCACCACCTGTAGCTACACTTTGGAGCTAAGGTTCTTCAACTGTATCTTCTTTCATTTCATTTCTATCTAAATTAACATCTGCTGGAAATCCAACTATTTTCAACCATTCACAGCACTGTGATCTGTCGACAGAACAGACTTCAGAGTACCGACTATAAGCAAAATCGATTTATTATGCATGCCAATAAATGATAAAGCTGATTCCACTTTATTTATATGTTCCATATCGATCCAGCGATTTTAATGTCACGTGAGTTCTGATTCATTACTGCATCATGAGTTGAGACTCCTAGATATAAATAGGCGGATAATTTGGATATCCGCAGAGGTAGGTATTGATTCCGATTACCACCTGCTCAAAAGTGTTACTCCACTTACGAGCTTTGGAGTAATGCATGACAAAATTCAGAAGAACTCATGAATGATAGATCTCTCAGAGAAGCAGTGGAATTACTCGAGAAAGAAACAATAAGGATTGTCGTAAGTAGACAATTACAATGTCCTATCATGGATAAAAACGTGTCAAAATTATTCAGAAATCAAACTTCTTAACTCATCTCGACATATACTACTGGAGAAAATTCTACAGTAGCCTAATTCTTGAAAATATATTTCAACATAATTACTTTAAACACTTGTGCAGTACATGAGATAAGAATAGTATGTAACATTCTTTTATACGGAACCTCATAGTTCTGGGCAGGATTTCTAACAGATTCATGATCGCAGACTATTGAGTAGTCAGTCCCACATTGACTAGAAAAAGTTGTCCAGTGCCCACAGCCTCCTAATACTTCCATAGACCATGTCAATCTATCATGTAAGCCATTTAAAAATCAGTTAATTTTCATACAACTCCGATTGACATAAATGTTACTATAAATTCATGGAAACATTGATCTAATGTCAGCGACAGTCGATTTGAGAAGAATACGACTGAGGGATTTCACTGATGTCAGCAAATTCTTCCATCCTGGAGCGAAGAACTTCACACATGCATTTTCACTTGTATTGAACGATTGAATTTAAAATATGTTAACCAGAAAGGGAGATTTGCAAACATTCAAGGAAAGTACATTGCAGATCCTAGTCAAACAAAGTGGAACTGAACAGTGAAACTTGCATTTACTGCAAGGTTTCTTTAAGACTTTAATTCAGCATGTCCTGCGATGAAGCTCTAACCATTCACTTTCTTTTCATCTCATTTCATCTACCATCCTTCCAACTGTTGTCAAGTGAAGAAACCTTATCTCCAGATTCTGAACAGATATGATTGCCTGAAAACATTTGCACTAATGAAGCAAGTCACACATCAGTACACTCTTCTGCTGGTCAATGAGAATTTTTTAAAAATTTCTATTCACTACTTGGTTCATTCTTTCAAGCTTTTTACACACACATTTAGTGTTTCCGACTTACACATTGAAGGCTTAACGACAATGAAACTGTCAGGAGGTCCACTTTTTGATGGATTAACAAGTAGCAAGTATTATGTGAGTCAGTCTTGTGGTAAATTTCTGCTTTTCCTTCACTGGTTGACTTAAAGATGCTCCACCGCTAGGTAAGTTCCCTGTAACAGATGTACATCATCATTTCATCTTCTTACAAGTTAGACTAAGGTATGTGTTTCTTAACTACACTCATGTGAAAGTATGATAATGTGGAGTCGTGGCAATTATTCCATCTAAAACGCTTTAACTTCCTTAGAGGAATAAACCATGTGCGATAAATAGTTTACGCTTACAATGATCATGAAGGATGTGTTTCAACAAAATCTGTTTTCAATGTACCACAGGTTGTACTTTCACAAATACACAATCATATTTATGCTTTTTACAGAGAAGTAGTTTGCAACAGATAAACTGTGGTTATATCGCACTCCAGGACTGAGTTTTCACAAGCAGAACTTTTATCAAGCAGGTAAATGTGAAACAGCCTACATGAGTTTGAGTTACATTGGTTCTGATTAGACACAATACTTAAGGGACAGTACCAATGCTGACAATTAAACCAGAGTATCGTATGATGAGTGGGAGTGTTTGGCAGGAATTACTGAAACCCAAGAAATCCAACTCAGAGTAATAAACGCTCAGTAACAAATGACGTTTATTCAGATTAACTGGGGTGATTGAAGAGAAAATAAACTTGAGTGAGATAAATGTAATTTCGCTCAAAAAAAAATCAAGCTGTGTACACTCAGCTTACTATGAAGTGCTGGATGTGAAGTAATCCGAAAGTTGTTATTCACACACCTAGTCTTAGTTTTCAGTTGTGAGTGATTGACATTTATCTGAAGAAGGAAAAGTGAACCCACACCGTTCCATAGATTGCATCATTCTGTTAGTGATATGGAATAATGAATCAGATATGCGTTATGATTACCAGCAGTATCAGTGTATTTTATATGAAAAAATCTAATGTAATGAATGTAGGTTTCGCTGGGGGCTATCCTTCATATGTAGTGAATTCGGTAATTTGATATTGCTGAATGTATCGGTTGACAGTCGTAGTGTATGGGGAGTGTATGGGTGAAGTGTAATGGGGAATTGACACAATGTTGTGCTATTCTTCAACCTTCATATTTCGCCTTACTGAAATTAACCGTGCTGACTTCATGAAGTTGTGAGGCATATTTCAAGACAATGTGAATCCATTATAGACGGCGTTCTAGGTGACCTTCAGTGATGGTCACTAGTGAGTTGTGGAACCAGTTTCCTTCTTATTTCAATCCCTTTAACATGCAATTTCATTTGGTCATGTGGCAACAGAAGGTGTGTTTTAATGAGATTTCACCTTTGGCTATTGTCACCATCTTGTTGAGAAGTTTTGCACATTACTTTGACAATGAAAATCATTAACGATGTTTCATTACATCAAACAATGGATGCTAATCAACTCAACTCTATTGAAAACTATTTCAGAAACACATTTTATGATTATGAAGTGTAAGTTTTCGATATCAGTTTATCACTGTGTGATATGAATATAGTTGACTATGAGTTAAAATTATGTCGCCAGATAAGTTAGTGGTATGGTGGACATGAGAAAGCAGAGACCAATTATCTCTACCTGTTCGGATTACTAATTTCATCGTTCCTTTTCCATCCTACTCTGAAAAGTGTACCAATTAGTATACAACTGAATCAAACTCCACCATTCGGAAGTTAAATGACTAACTAGACATTGTGCAATACTTAATAACAAATTCAAAAGTCATATCACATAAAGATAATCCAGTTCAGAAGTCATGCAAAGTTTGACGATGTGAGCCACATGTGTTGAGCACTGGTTAATAACATTTATTATATGCTGAAACCAGGTTAAAGGAAGAATCCTAATTCGTGAACTATGGGTGAAATGCTGATAATGTACACCAAGTTATGCACTACTCCGACTTGGCACATTTGAATACAATGAAAAGAGTGAATTTTAGTGGAGTGACAAGAAGAGAAAATGACCGTGCCGTCTGCTTCTACTTGTAGAGCTTTAACAGTGATCAGGGATAACAGAGCATACAGTTTTGCTTGAGGAACATTTGAGGGGTCGAGGCATATTTCTCAAAAGTAACACTATTGAACCGTTTAGTGTATGAATTGAATGAAAACACCATACAAATCGAATCATTCGGGAAGGATTCTAGTGCTTTGCAGCCAACTGATGGATATTCTCAAATTTCTAAAAGTCATTTCACTTATGCAATAACTTATTCAAGATTTTGATGCAATTTAAATATTTCTTCAATCTACTTCAGTCTGGGAGCGTTAAATGTGCTGTGAGTCTCTCAATAAATATTAATCTTCTTATGAGATGAAACATTCAAAGGACGTTCTTATTAGTTCACAGCAGAAAATGTTTCCAGTAATCTGATCATAGTAGTGTTGACAAATCCTGCTTGGCCTAGGGATTGAAAACTATAAGAATAATCAAGGGGTGATTGAGTGTTGCAGCATGTGATGTAAGAAGTCACCACACCTCAGTGAGGAGGTGAAAAGGCGGATGCACGGAAGTGAGGGTGTTAATACCAAATATTGTAGATGACATAAGGAAAAGTAGATTGCATCAGTATGAAACTAAGAGAAAATGTAAGCATGTATAGAGTGTACAAAAATACTTGATACTTACAAGGAAAGAAAGAGACAGACTGACGACGGTCACCTTGTTCGGTCAACACTGGAATTCTTACTGATGAACAATGATATCAGACTGAATTATTCCTCCTGTGATCGGTCACAACACAGGTGGAGATTTATCTTCTGCTTGACCATTTCTTCCTTGAATTGGATAGATGATGTAAACGATGGTCTCTGATGTCGCATGGAACCAAGTTTTATACTCATTACTGAGAAGGAGGAGAGTGAATACATCCTCTGCCAACTTTGTTCTCTCAAAATGAAAAGAGCTTGAATGTTATTCAGTTCGTGTGACTCTAACAACTTTGAATAATAACAAGACTGCCTTCTTTGAATAATCATCTTGACATGCTACATATTCCATCTGTGACTAGATACTTTCATTCACTTCTGCTGTGCCAGTTACTGGAATCATTGGGATCATTCACATCGTTCAGTTTCCTGATAGCTGAGATATTTTCTATTCCACTGGATAGTTGATTGGTTGTCTGTGTGTGCGTGTTTGACCCTCGTTATTTAGTGATGAAAATGGTGGGTTATGTGTTGAAAATATATTAACTGGTATAGATATCTATACACATCGAAGGTAATTCATTGATTGTTAAACAGTGAATATCCGTTTGACTATGCCTGATGACTGATGGCTTTGGAAGTGATGGTCACTGGCATAGTTTTTATGCAGAATTCAAAATCATCAATACCTGAATGTCTGTGTTAATTTATCCACAGAGGTGTGATCATTTTAATCTCTCTGTTGAAAACTTTAGCCAAAGGCATATCACCGAACTGTAAGTGGAGCATCGCAAAAACCTTTTATTTTGAGGAATTTTTAAACAATCAGTTCCATTCTTGTGAATGTTAGATCAAGCTTGAGTGGTCATTGTGAAATTTCATCCATAACACCTTATTGTAATCAAGAAATTATTAGTTATATTAAGATGTTAGAAGTTGCTTCATCATCTTCGATTTGTGATTCACAGGCAACATTTACTATTGGTAGATTCCCATACCGCATAAAAGTTCCAGTTGAGTTGAATTGGTTGAATTCAACAATCATTGAAGAAGCGATTCGCTAATAACCAAAAACTTAGTTGTGTTCAACGCAAGTAGGTAGTCAATATAAACGATTAAGAAAAGTGTGATCCAGTTATAGCGTGTACAAGTCTGTCAAACAAACTATGAACAGTGGCATTGTTTCAAGACAAATATACCATACTTAGCCAGTGATAAAAGGCGGAAGGGTGGATTTATTTCTCTGAATCGAGTCATAAATATTTCAATATCCAGACCATTGAGTTGTTATACACATCACATATCTGGTTAAAGATTAACTTTACTTGTATTACAAAACAAATGTGGATCCAGCAGGTATTCGCAGATAAATGTACACATATTACTCCTGATAAAATCATGCGGAAAGACTTATCATTTTTCTCTCTTATTCACAAAAACTATCATTTAGAACAGCGGAAGATGCAAAGTAAGCACAACTGAATTTCACTTTTAAAGTATATCGGATGCCCAAAAACCTACTATAATATTGGTGACAAATACAACACATATCCGTATACATTCACGAAATTAAAGTCATAAACAAATGGGAGAATAATATAACGGGAGAAATTCTGACCTCAAATTAGAAGAAAGGCCTCCATGATTGCAAATTACCCAGCAAATTCATTTGCTGTTGTCTAATAAGCACATCAGCATTGATAAACGAAACTGTTTCATACTGTCTTACTGTACACATTAGACATACAATTATTATATTTAACCATCTAATGGAAATTTCACCTTTTCCAGTTCCAAAGAGACATCGAATCGCGTGTAAGTTTTAAAATGCATTTCATATCTGCAAACAGAAAAAAATATTCATATCTCTACTATTACTCAAACACGTGCCTCTTCAATGTCCATAATCAAATCTCGATGATCAATAAACTTCATGAATTATGGTGACTGACAACTCCATCACCACAATCTTCACACTATCACAACACATCGAAGTGCATAAACCAACGAATACTGAGGTGGCGAATAGTATGATTTGAAGATATGTGATAAGAATTCCTTCACAATCCTATCCACTCACATGACTCACTTCACCCTTATTTCAAACATCCAACCATTCGTAATCTAGATTCTTAGTAACTGGCAAATTTAACGCCAAACCACCAGCTAGGGGAACATCAGTTAGGTGCTAACTGTCACTGTATTTAATTGACAGTGAGAAACGATCAGTTAGCTGTATGAACTACGAAAAAGGCTCACAAAGATTCAACGAGGTGTGAGTTAGCAATTGGATGGTATTGCTGAATAGAACTGTTGTGTTACGAACTCCTGGTAAATTAACTTTCAAGGTGTTGGTAGTAATTAATTTGACCATATGATGTTTTCAGTCATTTAACAAGAATCTCTTATTACATGTTCTGTGTCTGTTCGTGCTTATCAACAGGTATTTACCTACATACCTGAGGAAATAGTGATTCAGGCAAACGACGCTTAGTGCCAAAGTGTGACTGTTTACCAGCTGGAATGGCCAACAACAAAGTTGGTGCAACACAATGTTGTATCACTCGGCTGAGAATCCACACAGTCAAATTATCAATAAACCTCGATGAGTAGTCAGTACACAGGAGTGAACTGGTGCATCAGTCAACAGTCAGCAACCAGTCGGTGTATGCTTGTCTCAATTTTACACCTGCAGCTCTTTGCATCGATACAATAGTGAGCTCACCGCACTTCTACGTGACCAGCATTCACGTATCCTTCGAATGACTGAAGTAAATATGCAGGGCAAATATAGTGATAATAGGGCGACTCAACAATCCAGTGTGAATCTATTGTAGAAACGATAGCCAGAATCACTATCTGATTATCCATACCATGCAAAGAGGAACACAGTTTGATTCTAAGTTCGACTGGTTGACAGACAACTGCCTCGACCAGAAGATGGATCCACAACTTCTCAATATGTAACAGGCTACTCAAGATGCGTATCCTTGAGATTGCAATAAATATTCCTTTCTATTACCAATTTGCTTATATTTTAAATGATGATGTTTCACAACTACATAAATCTAGATTTTAAATGACGGCTGGTAGTCTCTGAGAAGTATCGGAGATACTGATTGCCATAACATCGGTTATTTTTCACTTTTCATGTCATTGAGGAAATGCTGAAATGATTCGGATTTTGTATCACGTTTTTTATTTCAGTAAGCGTGACGTCGCCAAATCAACGTAAGTAAACTCTTACAAAGAAATAAAAGTGACATTAAAATATGGTAAGAATTTTTGATATCCATCGAGTGCTGCATTTGTGAAATCAATTTGAAGAAGAGCCTCCATTATTCCAAATTATCCAACAAAGTCATTTGCTGTTGTCCAATAAGCACATCAGCATTGATAAACGAAACTGTTTCATACTGTCTTACTGTACACATTAGATATACAATTATTATATTTAACCATCTAATGGAAATTTCACCTTTTCCAGTTCCAAAGAAGAATTGCCTCACAAGTAAGTTATAGAAAGCATTTCAGTTCTGCAAACAGACAAAATATTCATATCTCTACTATTACTCAAACACGTGCCTCTTCAATGTCCATAATCAAATCTCGATGATCAATAAACTTCATGAATTATGGTGACTGACAACTCCATCACCACAATCTTCACACTATCAGTTAGCAATAGGATGGCGTTGCTAGATAGAACTGTTGTGCTGCGACTGCCTGGTAAAGTACCATTTCAAGGTGTTGGTAGTAATTAATTCCACCAAATGACACATGTATGTGTTCTGTGTCTGTTCGTGCTTATCAACAGGCATTTACCTACATACCTGAGGAAATAGTGATTCAGGCATACGAGGCTTAGTGCTAAAGTGTGACTGTTTACCAGCTGGAATGGCCAACAACAAAGTTGGTGCAACACAATGTTGTATCACTCGGCTGAGAATCCACACAGTCAAATTATCAATAAACCTCGATGAGTAGTCAGTACTCAGGAGTGAACTGGTGCATCAGTCAACAGTCAGCAACCTGTCGGTGTATGCTTGTCTCAATTTTACACCTGTAGCTCTTTGCATCGATACAATAGTGAGCTCACCGCACTTCTACGTGACCAGCATTCACTTATCCTTCGAATGACTGGAGTAAATATGCAGGGCAAATATAGTGATAATAGGGCGACTCAACAATCCAGTGTGAATCTATTGTAGAAACGATAGCCAGAATCACTATCTGATTATCCATACCATTCAAAGAGGAACACAGTTTGATTCTAAGTTCGACTGGTTGACAGACAACTGCCTCGACCAGAAGATGGATCCACAACTTCTCAATATGTAACAGGCTACTCAAGATGCGTATCCTTGAGATTGCAATAAATATTCCTTTCTATTACCAATTAACTTATATTTTAAATGATGATGTTTCACAACTACATAAATCCAGATTTCAAATGACGGCTGGTAGTCTCTGAGAAGTATCGGAGATACTGATTGCCATAACATCGGTTATTTTTCACTTTTCATGTCATTGAGGAAATGCTGAAATGATTCGGATTTTGTATCACGTTTTTTTATTTTAGTAAGCGTGACGTCGCCAAATCAACGTAAGTAAACTCTCACAAAGAAATAAAAGTGACATTAAAATATGGTAAGAATTTTTGATATCCATCGAGTGCTGCATTTGTGAAATCAATTTGAAGAAGAGCCTCCATGATTGCAAATTATCCAGCAAATTCATTTGCTGTTGTCCAATAAACACATCAGCATTGATAAACGAAACTGTTTCATACTGTCTTACTGTACACATTAGACATACAATTATTATATTTAACCATCTAATGGAAATTTCACCTTTTCGAGTTCCAAAGAAGAATTGCCTCACAAGTAAGTTATAGAAAGCATTTCAGTTCTGCAAACAGACAAAATATTCATATCTCTACTATTACTCAAACACGTGCCTCTTCAATGTCCATAATCAAATCTCGATGATCAATAAACTTCATGAATTATGGTGACTGACAACTCCATCACCACAATCTTCACACTATCACAACACATCGAAGTGCATAAACCAATGATTACTGAGGTGGCGAATAGTATGATTTGAAGATATGTGATAAGAATTCCTTCACAATCCTATCCACTCACATGACTCACTTCACCCTTATTTCAAACATCCAACCATTTGTAATCTAGACTCTTAGTAACTGACAAATTTAACGCCAAACCACCAGCTAGGGGAACATCAGTTAGGTGCTAACTGTCACTGTATTTAATTGACAGTGAGAAACGATCAGTTAGCTGTATGAACTACGAAAAAGGCTCACAATGATTCAACGAGGTGTGAGAAGTAGTCTCATTCGTGAAACAACAGAATGACATACCTTTATTAGTCTGCAATTTCTACTGAGTAGTTAGCAATTGGATGGCATTGCTGAATGGAATTGTTTTGCTGCGACTTCCTGGTAAAGTACCTATTAACGTGCAATAATTATTATTATTATTACTGTTACTTTTATTTGTATCTTGGGTTCCTGGTGGATAATGGTGCTTCAGTTGCTCGTCTCCATTCCACTTTGTTCTCTGCAATCTTTTAAACTAGGCTCTACGACAGCCCAGAAGCTCTCATTTCTTCCTCACACGATTTCCGCCATGTCACCCTCACCTTGTTTCTTCTTTGGATTTCACTCGACATCCTGGCCTGGCGCTTCTTGTCTTCGAATGGTCTTCACAGTGCATGCCTAATCCATCTCCATTTGCTTCTGCATATTTGTCGAGCGATAGGTTTTTAGTTGGTTTGTTGCCAGTCAGCCAGCCTGAGCTCCTTGTTGCTTATTCTTATTATTCTGGCCATCTGAGCTTCAGTATCGAGTGAGCGTAGGAAGCAGCTGTTGATGAATGTCTGTAGTTTGTTGAAAATGCTTTTCGTGACGTTCCAAGTTTTTGAATCATATATAAGCACTGACTTGACATTAGTGTTGAAAATCCGAATCATGTTCATGCTTTATGCTGAGTGCAGAGGATCTCCACATAGATTTCAGATTGATGAAGCCTGTTTTGCTTATCCATTCATGGATTTGACATCCTCATCTGTGCCGCCGCAACCTCCTGTAGTTGAAACAGTGCTGCCTAGATAGGTGAAAGAGAAAACTTCCTTTAAGTTTCTCCCGTTGATGGTGATTGGCACTTGTTGATGATGCTGTTGTTGGTTGGGTATCTTCATCACCTCTGTCTTCTATACATTCACTTGAAATCCCGTCTTCACTGCCGTGCCTCTTCTGTCAACTTGTTAGTTTTCGCCTGTAGATCTTCAAGTTTGTGTGACATTAGACATGAATCACTGTCAAAATCCGGATCTTCTAGGTTCTTCTCCGCAGTCCAGCGTATACCCCTCTTCTCCTTCCTCACAGTTTATTGCATGATCCAAACGACCTTAATCAGGAATATCATGGGTGTTAGTAGACAGCCTTGTCTTCCTCCTGTCTTGTAAATTACTTGGCATGTGGCGTTCTCATATAGTTGTTGAATGAGGTTGATAAATGTTTGTGGCACTGAAATCGTAGTATTGAAGCAGTTGCCAAATCACTTCTCGATCGACTCTGTCGAAGGCTTTTTCAAAGTCGATGAAGTTGAGTCAAGGTAGAGAGTTGACTGCAATTCTATGCTCTGTTCTATGATAAGGTGTAGTGTCGCATTCCGATCCGCAAATAATTTCTTCTTCTTAAAGCCAGCCAGCCTGTTCCGGTGATATTTTGAATCCAAAGAGTCCTTAAGTCTCCTCAAGATGACGTGGCATAATATTTTGCCTGCTTTGGGTGGACAGCAGCATGATTCCTCTCATGTTCTTGCAAAGACTTAGGTCTCCCTTCTTTAGGAGTTTGACAAGGTAGCTCTTCTTCCAATCTGCATGTACCTTTCCTTCCTTCCTTCCTTCCTTCCTTCCTTCCTTCCAGGCCTTCTACAGTAGTAGTGTTAACATGTCCACTGTTGTCTCTGCGACTGTTTTCAGTGCTTCTAGCTGGATTTCATTTGCTCCTGCTGCTCTCCCGCATTTCAGTAGATTTATGACGTTCAGGACTGCACTTATGCTTTCGTCGGAGGGCTTGTGTTCACTTGTAGTTCTGTGGCTAGGCTGTAGGTGGTAATTCCGGTAGAAGTGCAGTTAGTGGTCGATTCAAGAGCTTTTTGAAGTGGTCAACCCATTTTTTCCTTTGTTTCTCATCTTTGGTTTCATCTGCATTGACCTCTTCCCAGATAGTGGCCCGGTTGTTTAATACAATGTTGTCAGGTCTCTCCTACCTGCAGCCTGTTCTGCTTCGCTTGCCAGTGTGTCGTAGAAGTGTCTCTAGTCTTTGCATGCACTCTTCTCCAATTCTTTGTTCAGTGCAGTGGGTTCAGTTCCTCTTTTCGTTGTTCATCCTTGCACTGGTTTATCTTCTGCTTCACCATCCTTCTCTCCTCTATCTGCTTACATGTGTCCGTCGAGATCCGTTCCTTCCTTATTTTCTTTTTTCTTCCTTCCTAACACGGTTATGCAGGCTTCTTTCCACATAGCTTTCAAAGATTTTCCGTGTTCATCCACACAGGTTTCTTCAAGAATGTTGCCTAATGTCTTTTTCTTGATGGCTGACATGAAAATTTCCTTTGTAGTTTCGTCCTACGGTTTCTGGGTATTAAACTTGAAGTGTGATCTATCACAAACTTCCTTCAAGGCTTCCAACTTGATTTTGTAGGTAGGTTCCTTGCACTGGATAGTGAGTGATATGAACTACCAACATCTGCTCCCCTTCCTCATCTGATCTTGTGTCCAATAGGCTGACTGCATCTCTACTTTCTTCACATTGAGATGAAGTCGATCTGATTTTTAATATAGTGTGTCCTGGTGTTTGGTGAAATCAAATTCATATCGCTGCCTTCTGAACATCCTTGTGTTTCTACACACTACCTCCAATCACCAAATTGTTGAATGCGCGGAAATCTGCAAACAGTTCTCCGTTCTCATTCATTTCACTGAATGTTTCTCAATCCATGATCACCTCTTTTCCTGTGTTGTCTGCTCCCAGTTTGGCATTCATGTCACCCCACCCATTAGAATTTTGATATCTACAACTGAGGTCTTGTCCATTATTGACTGCAGTTGTCTGTAGAATTCCTCCTTCTTCTCTTCATCCACATTATTTGTAGATACATAGCGTAGCGTAGCATTGCATGATTGTCACTTTCCTTCCTTCCGAGTTGAATCCATCTTGCTGTCATGGTCCTCATCCTGCAGGAGGAGATTGCTTCCCACTGCATGACAGAGAGCCTTCGATGATGTTAAGAATATCATAACCGACACTCCAAAACTCAATGTGCTCGTGATTGTCGTCTGGGTGACAGTATCGGAGTAGATTATTGACTCCTCTCCAGTTGACAGTTTGGACAGTCCACTTCCATTCCATCCACTTTCTCAGATTCCTAGCACTTTAGTGCTATACTTTCTCATCTCGTTTACAATCTGGGCAGCCTTGCTAAGTTCAAACATGGTGCGGACATTCCATGCCCCCATCCTTACTTTAGCTTCCACCGAGAGAAGACAAATCAGCCAAGTGGCTTCCTGAAGTCTTTCACCAAACAGCGTTATTTCGTCGCCGACTCCAGCGAGGAATAAGTTTGTTTTTAATTTGTATATTTTGTCTGTGCTTTGAAGTTTCTGTAGCTGTTAGATTGGTTTTCTGGCTCAGAGTTCCTATCTCTATGCCAAACCTCCCCTCTTTGTCAGGGATTAGGACCGGCTAGTTACTAGTGAAATAGATAACCAGGCAGGGTAGTAATTAATTTGACCATATGATGTTTTCAGTCATTTAACAAGAATCTCTTATTACATGTTCTGTGTCTGTTCGTGCTTATCAACAGGTATTTACCTACATACCTGAGGAAATAGTGATTCAGGCAAACGACGCTTAGTGCCAAAGTGTGACTGTTTACCAGCTGGAATGGCCAACAACAAAGTTGGTGCAACACAATGTTGTATCACTCGGCTGAGAATCCACACAGTCAAATTATCAATAAACCTCGATGAGTAGTCAGTACTCAGGAGTGAACTGGTGCATCAGTCAACAGTCAGCAACCAGTCGGTGTATGCTTGTCTCAATTTTACACCTGTAGCTCTTTGCATCGATACAATAGTGAGCTCACCGCACTTCTACGTGACCAGCATTCACGTATCCTTCGAATGACTGAAGTAAATATGCAGGGCAAATATAGTGATAATAGGGCGACTCAACAATCCAGTGTGAATCTATTGTAGAAACGATAGCCAGAATCACTATCTGATTATCCATACCATGCAAAGAGGAACACAGTTTGATTCTAAGTTCGATTGGTTGACAGACAACTGCCTCGACCAGAAGATGGATCCACAACTTCTCAATATGTAACAGGCTACTCAAGATGCGTATCCTTGAGATTGCAATAAATATTCCTTTCTATTACCAATTAACTTATATTTTAAATGATGATGTTTCACAACTACATAAATCCAGATTTCAAATGACGGCTGGTAGTCTCTGAGAAGTATCGGAGATACTGATTGCCATAACATCGGTTATTTTTCACTGTTCATGTCATTGAGGAAATGCTGAAATGATTCGGATTTTGTATCATTTTTTTAATTCTATTAGGCAGCAGATGGTCACTACGATGTAAGTTTTATTTCCTGAATAGGATTCATCCTGTTTTATTTGTTATTTAGAAGGCAGGATGATGTTGAATATTTACATACTGCTGCGAATTCCGGAGGAGCTAGGAATACAACATAGTGTGGTTTGACTCTACTTACTCGGTAGTTTCAATCAGACAAGGTGGAAGATACCTGAATGGTGAGGCAGAACTTGCTATGCTAGACGCATCTGTTTCTGCCATGTCAATAAATGGAAGCTTGCCATCTTTCCCCTAAAATAATTAATCAATAATTGCACTTCCTAACGGTTTGAATGCACCGCTTGGATCAGCCGATTGGATGAATACTGAAATTGAAGATATCTGAGGGTATATATGCTTTGGTCATCTCCATATATGGCTTTTAGTAAGAACTCTGTCCTGTGAGATCGATGGTGGCAGATCGTAAAATATTCATTATCGTTATATACCACATCAACAGAAGAGATATTCAACAGTAGTGCTAACAGGTCATCAATGAACTCAACAGAACCAATCTTTTTCAAGATAAGGTGAAGTATACAGAAAGTGGAAGGAAATAGGAGAAGAATGAGTGGGACATTGAACCACATAAGTTCTAGTAAGTAATGAAACAGAATGCTTTGCTTGCACACAATGTGTTGTCTGCCTACGGAGAAATTATACAGTTGGTATATAATGCACACTACAAGACACTTTCACTAACAGGATCAAGACTGTTACATGACCAGCAATACATACATACACACAACCAGCTAAGAGGCAGACACATGAACATATAAAGCAGAGCTTGGCATCACTGCGAAACAGTACGAGTTGCCAAACTAAGCATCAGCACTTTATCATACCCTTCATCTTAAATATGCATACTTTAAAACCACATTGAAGGAGACAGAGTGTGAACAGGAGGTACAATTAACACATAATAGCCAGACTAATTGTAGCATAACAATATGAATATCAGTGATAATAATTCCACTCAAAAAGTTCACATAATGTCACTCAATGTGCTCCTAACAGAAATAATTCCTTCACATAATCAACACTTACTAACAAATCTTCAGTTGAAAGAAACTTTGTTGTGGTCAGGTGAGAAAGGCTGTCCTATATTAGCTTATCATTGACAAATTCAAGTTAAAATGAACAGATTGAAGGTCTTCGTGGCATCAAACACATCGTGGACACTCTGAACATGTGTTTTGAATATGCTAGCACTTACGTTTCAGTAAGACGATATACTCAACTGGCACCAACCTAGGAGACAGAACTTGTCAGTCAGTGGAGGCGGATGAAGCTTTCAGGTTACATAGCAACTGTTCAGAAATCTCGAAATGTAACTGATAGTGGAAATCAGGTGGTTGGAGGAAACAGCAGTTCTGAAAATAGTCTGAATTTGCTCGCTTTTTTGCATATAACCACCAGTTCACCATTATATTGTCATGCAACATCCACTTTTACAGAGTGCATCAGCAAAACAAATTTCGCCACCATTTTAACAAGATGATTTTACTACTTTCTTGAAAATTGAAACAATCAACAACTGGGATCAGTCACAAGGCGTCATTCAGTGTGGAAATAAGTCATCATGCACTCTCAGTGAATACTTTTGATAATAATCGGTCAAGACACGGTGTGACCATGTAGTGAAGGCTTCTGTCAGCTTCAATGATATCAGCAAGATTTGGAAACGGTATTTCAGTAACCCGGTCGACAGTCTGACACACGTCTACTATTCAGTACTCTGAAACGTTGATCGCTAAAATACTCACTAGTGGATAATCAAATATCAAGGTAGTTGCAAGATGAACTATTTGGTGTGGCATGATATCTCATCATCTTAGGGTGATGTGAGAATACACACTCTTATTGATTACAAGTTGGTATTCACTATGATCAGACATCATATGGAGGAACTTTGGAAACCTAGGAGAACTGGACTGTGGCTGTTTTGCCCCAGTATGGGACGCCTCAGCATTGGTCACCAGTGACCCCCAGAGAAGTGGTTCCTGAAGTTCCGATGAAGAGTCGTGATCGGTTGGGCAAACCTGGTGGAAGTGAGGACAAATATTCAACGGTGACACTGGGTGATGGTCGCACTATGTTGTTAACTGTTGGAAACATGCAGCATTGGATTTCGACTCAGTGACTAAATGGTAACATGCCAGAGATGGAATCTGTAGGTCGTGCGTTCGATGTTTGATGGTGTTGTGGGTGAGCACTGCTGTAGATTCTCATGCTAGTACGAGACAACTGTCCAGTTCCCCTGGGTTTTCAATGCTCTTCCAACTGATGTCAGCCCATGAGTAATACCAACTTGAAATGAGAAGGAATGATTTAGAACACAGATACAACAAGCAGCTTGATCACCGCATTATATGACTGATATCATGCAGCCTAAACATGTTTCGTATCTACTTTACAGTAAATCAGCCTTGAATACATGGTAAGTGAATTGTCAACATGCTGGACAACGTTTCACATTTCATCAGAATTACATGTTATGACACTATTCTACTGGGTGATGATAGAACATGACGTGAAAATCTAGACTATAGCAGGACGCAGACCAGTGACCTATGAGTCACAGTTCCGATGTTCCGTAATTTGAAAATTGAGTTGTAACGTAGCACTCGAATTTGATTAAAAACTATGCTGTTCCACACTGAATAATGAAGTAGATTCTACGGAAGGCTAAAAAATCAATGTTATATCATCCCTGTATACGTCTCAGGAATCTGAAGAAATTTTGTAACAGCTTATTTTTATCGAAATTATAGACATCGGTGGTATGTGGAAGCTTAGATACTTGGTTCTAAATTTAGGCAACGTGCTATTATATCCTCCATGGCTAATGGTGCCTTGATTACAAGCGACACTATTCTTTAGACAATAGTTGCACAACAAATGTGAATCTCCGGGTTGTTTACCACTCGCAAATAACTGATAAGAGAATTCGGTTCAGGCATCATGATGTATGTAGTGCGGATCATGGATTTCTGGCGTTTCTAATGCCATCACATTCCTCAAGTTATGCTCATTCAGAGGTCATAGGTCTTACATGATTTTATCAACGTTTTTCAGTATTTCGGGCTTTAATTGAGACCTTAAAAATCATACAAACCGTCTAGTAATATTAAATCTTTGATGTTCATCTGGAACTGGAGACTATGGTGCCTTTGCTATTTCAAGTGTTATCAATAAGAAGTTAGTTAGCAGGCAAGGTTTACCTGTAGTTAGTTATTAAGATGCCGAATCAGGTTTGACACGTTTTTCCTGCATCCGCCTTTGAAATGTGATCAACTGATATGACCAGTTGTGTAGTCTTTCAGCTGTCCAACTGTAGTGTCAAAAGGGTTTCTGTTAGAAAACCATGCAGGTGAGATTCGTAAGCTGTGGTATATGGCACAAAGTTACCAGTAAATATCTAAGTAAACGACTACTGAAAAACCTGAGTGGTTACAAAAAAGTCAGACCTATCTGTAGGTGGTCTGAACTTCTTTGTGTGTATATCGTGAATTAGTCCAGGTTCACCTAACAGGGCTTAGATCATTAGTATCAGTGTAGAACGTGAACACTGCATCAGAATTTAATTCCATATAAGATTTGTTTATTTGATTTATAACACACAGTGTGATACAGTATTATTTACTTGACGACGTTTTGAGCAGAGTTTATCATTGCTCATTATCATATTAATGTAATCTCACCACATTCGATATCTGATTTTCTGAAGGTCCTATCACCAAATATTATTTGTTTTTATTGCTAGTAAAATTGTTTATAACGACAACGCATGTAGAAAAAAGTTCACAGACTCCATTGTGTTACCTATGAAGAAGGTTCATCAGAAACTCAATGAAGGATCCTCAACAAGGCTGGAATCAGGATGGCATTAAAACCTTGAAACTCACTCAGAGATAAGCTTTGTCGGCTGGCTTAACGACGCAATAGAACCAATTAAGCAAAATAATCTAATCTATCAAATTCCATATAATAACTGCAAAGTCAAGTACATAGGTCAAACTAGACGTTCGAGGTCAGTTGGTGTGTTATAAATCAAATGAGCAAATTGAACATGGAATTAAGTTGTAGATCACACTGAACTGATTGGCAAAATCAATACATCAGATTTATTGACTCCTAATTAATGAAGTTGTTCAGAAGTAGTATAGTCAAATATGTGGTTCATCTGAGGGGAACACTCACAAATGCTCGACAAACAAACAGAAGATTTAATCTACTACAGTCTCGATTAAACCCAAATTAAAGTTGTAACCTGTTTAATAAAAATACATTTTACACTGTCCGAACTTACAGTTAGCCTAAATCATTTCTGTATTAAACATAGGAACCTAACGTAAGTTAAGAATATAAAATATGTCTCAATGTGCATACGAGTACGCTTCAACATTCATATTTTTCTGTATAATGACCATTTGCATTAACTGATGAGAAATCATACCATACATGGCTACAAAGTGCGTAAAGTTCTAAATGTCTTAAATGCTTACAAAATATTCAAGTAATACTGACCATTGAAATTTTGCATATTTAGGATGTTTATGAATAGCACAATAAGAGAGTATACAGAGTAAGTTACCAGTCACGTCTCTTTTCATTGAATTAAATGATATTCCTGTCAGCATCATAACCAGACATAAATCAGTCTGAAAGATGTCTACTTCAAAACAAATATTCAATGAACAGATTTCCTTCATGCTTGAATTCATCACTCATTCATCTATCCGATTACATGCACCAATGTCACTCACTGTCGATATATCATATTTCTGGAAACATCTACAGATTGAAGATTCAAGTGAAACTAACTTATTCAAGCCGAGAATGACCGTACCTGCAAATCTCTCTATCTGATGATAGGCTTTCTTTTGACTGACATGAACCTTCGCCTTCTACACTATTTCACCACTTGACTTCGTGATCATATTTCACTCTCAACGAACACCCTTCATTCTTAGTCACAGTGTTGGATAGTCAATACAAATGTTGGAAGTTGCAAAATAAACAGAATGCATAGTCGTACTATCTTGATGTACATCTACCTTGATATTTTGTAAACCCCTCAATCGATGGATACAGTTTCCATGCAAATATATCAATCACGAGTTTGTAATTGTATTCTCTAGAGACCTCTAAGTATCCTGTAACACTATTACAAACCAAAGTCAAGGAAGAAGGAACAAAAGCTGAGACCTGAATTCGTGGATCGAACATAAGTCACAATGTATCTAAGGTTTCAGAATGTTGGCTTATCTTACTTCACGTGTGTAAAACGGTGATGGCATGTGGTGGAAACTTAAGCGTGAAAAGGGAACATTTGCGTAACCAGCATTCCAATGAATGTGGTTCTTCTTTACAATGACCACTTCATAATTGTGGAGTGTTTATTGTCAACTTACTCGTTGGTGTTATTGCTTGTATTATACCGTCGTTGATTGGACCCAATTGGTAGGTCTGTATTGGCATATGGGCTCCTGCGCGAATGTCTCGATATTGTCTGTGTTTTAATTTGGAGTGTTTGAAGCGATTGGTCTCCAGTTTGAATCTCGATAGGAACAACATCACTCATCACCGGGAGGCAGGTACATCCAGTTGACGAGTCACAAATAGGAAGAAATGCTCATTCTGGGTTCCACTGTTAGCCACTATCCAACATTACTAACTCACTCGTTGCCTGAATAAACATCTGCAGGAAACCCTTCTTCTACTATCTCAGATGATTTAAGGTAAATTTGCTTGGTTTTTGCGGCGAGTTGGCTGGGCAGAAAACGTATCTGGTCGTCACTCTGTCCATTCCGACTGTCGTATCTATCTGCGCCCAGGTAGAAGATAGGCGTTTCAGATGTATATTAGTGATTTGATGAGGCTTTGAAAGAAGAATAGTTAAATTGTGAACGCTTGAAAGCAACATCTTTATTACGCTTAACATATCGGAGATACCGTTCACGCATACAACAAACACTTCGAAACAATGTAATTTACTTCACAGCTCAGTGATGATTAGTGTGATATTTAAAGCTTTACTGAATGTTTTCACAATAAACGAGTAGTTTAGAAGACATAGTCAAGTTATACAACAACTGAACTTCTACTGAAACTACCGGCATTATTTGCACCATGTAATTAAAAACACACAAGTCTGCCTGAAAGTCTTCACTTTGAAAATCCAAAGCAGATTGATTGCTTTGTTTTGTGAACAGAGTAACGCAGGGGATAGCAACTAAGGAGTGCAGGTAAAGCTTCCTTTTCAAGTAGACTAGGCAATGCATAAGAGAAAATATGTTTACCAGTGGTGCATCTGTGCCAATGGTAGAAGATGTGTATTATGAGTCAGCTAATCAAACACTGGATTTACTCACATCTGTCGCCTTGAAAGCTCAGCAATATGATTAGTTTTATAGTAAGTGGAAATTCAAGGTACATTTGCCGAATCTCCCATTAAACAAATGTTTCACCAAACATCAACTTCATGCGTGTAAATTTTATTGTAGAACTGAATGTATGAAGGCAACGTAAGTTCTAATGAGATTTCTACTTGTCAAATAAGTTTTCAATGGATATAAAAAGCTAATCAAAGCAGAAATGATAGAATTTAGAGAGAGCAACAAATTCATTTTGAAAATACAAAATGAGAAGTTCCTCGAAATTGGAATAACCATCTTTCGAAGCGTAGGACTCTAGAATAAGCCAGTTATTGAGAACAGATATGCATGACGGAAGTTGTAGTTCTGGAACATTGGAAAATATAAGCAAAACCATAACTTGCTAGAAAAGTGATTCTCGGTGGTAGGAAATCTATATGAAATAAGTAATTTCACTTTATTAGTCCTAATCAAGATCAGTGCTAGAGAAGTGGTAGATGCAGGCCATTGACTAAGCATGTTGTCCTGGTTGTCACTAAGTTTGTTGGATTCTCAGAAATATTTGACCCAATTCCATCAGCTGCTTTGGTCTGTTCATATAAAGTAGCATGTGGCTGTACTATACATCAAGTGTCTTAAATATTTTACTTCCTTCCACCTCACACTAATTCTGCAGTAAATGCTATCAAACGGTACTTTTTATACCGTGTCATCCTCCAATCCTTGTTTCATGCTAAACTCCTTTAGTTGATAAGGTATACAATGATGCTTCCCTTTCCAATGGATGATTGAACACATGTAACAAAGAAGGACGCGACACAGATCCCTGGAATGTAGTAAATTCTTCTTATTCTACTACTACTTTTTTTTAGTCCCTTGGGTTCCTAGTGGAACACAGGGCTTCAGTAGCACGTCTTCAGTGACCTCTATTCTCTGAGATCTTTTGAACCTGGTTCCATGACAGCCCACAACCTCTCATTTCTTCCTCACACGACCTCCTCCATGTCACCTCCACCTCGGACGTCCAACTCGTCGCTTCCCATGGGGATTCCACTCGAGCAACTGGCCTGACGCGTGATGTCCTCAGTCGGCCTTCTCAGTGTGTGCCCAATCCATCTCCACTTCCTCCTGCATATTTGTTGAGTGATAGGTTCTTGGTTGGTTCGTTGCCAGAGTTCCTTGTTGCTTACTACTACTACTACTGCCACTTAAAATATAGATTGAGTGTTGACACAACCCAAAAGCCCACAAAATCAGTTGTATGTAAACATTGTTCAAAAGAGTAAAGACACACTGTGGTACATTGATCCTGTGGAGGAATGAAGAAAACTATTTGATGAATGTTTTCCAGATGAATGGCTATCCATGCAACTTCATCAAAAGATGCTTACATAACTCGTCATCAACCGAGAATTCCACCTCGGAAACTAACAAGTGGATTGTCCTATTCTACATTAAGGACGCCTCCGAGATCACGACTATATTAGTTAAGCCATTTGGAATAGCTGAATCTCACAAGCTTAGAAAATCTATTCAGTCTGCGTTATGCAGGCCAAAAGATACAATAACAATTCAAGAAAAACCAAAGATTATCTACAAAATAAACTGCAGAAACTGTGTAAAACACTACATCAAACAGAGTGATTACCCTCTTCGAATGCGTCCATACGAAAATCAACAGCCGCTTAAGCTTCATGATATATCTTCACTCAAATCATTGCATACAGACAATTGTGGACATGAGTTTGACTGTGAAAGTGTGAAAATTCTAGATAGAGGAAATACAAAGAACGTCTGAGAATTTTTAGAAGCTTGGCATTCATATCAATCAGTCAGCGATAAACGGACAATATTTGTACTGACTCAATCTATCAACCAATAAGAAACAACAAGAAGGTCAATTTTAGATCATCAAGACAACCAGTCAAAGTAAACAGGGGGACAATGACAAGAACTTGGTGGAAACAACTAATCACACACAAGGCCATCACGACAAGCTACACAACAAATTGATTGCAGAGAAAACCTTAAAGGTCACCTCATTCTGAAGCTTGTGCTGACGGAGTTGTCTAGAATGACAACGAAAGCTCCAAGATTGGACAATCCAGTCCACAGAACACAAAACCATCCGAATCATCCTCCTGAGCTGCAAATATTCCGCATCACCTTATAAACTGAAAATCGAATCTTAATTGAATACGTTGATATGATTATGATCAATAGTTTTATGCTCAAAACAATATCCAGTTAACAATATTGAGACACCGTTTGCTCTGTCAAATCACCAACCTTATATGCAGTCTCATTCTTTCCCACAATCCATGTCTCACCCTTTTAGACTCACATACTTGAAAAGTCCATATGTGACAGTGTGCGGCGTACTCTTATTTTCATGTAAATATTAACTGATGAATGTAGCTAGAATTGATATTAGATAGACACTGGACTATTGAGGTAAATGGTCCATAACAAATGGCATCAATCCCTCTTCTGTGAATTGTCTGACCCATGCAAATCGAAACCCTTGACTCGTTTGGACATATCTTCCTTTGAATTGCATCACATTACCTATTGACAGATTTCATCATTATTCATTCTCATAGATCTCTCTCTACTTTATCAGTTTTTCACAAGTAATTTCTGACTCACCAATGCTTAGATTAGCAATTACGTCTCCCTATTTTGTGAAGAAACTGCCTTTCCGGATGAAATGTCGAGGTCTGATAAGTTATCTTAGCAGTTGCTATGGTGGCCTCTAAAGTAATTCGTTATATCTCAGATTATTTTTATCATTATTTGTCCCTTGGGTTCTTAGTGGTAAATAGGGTTTCAGTAGCATGTTCCTATTCCACTCTGTTCTCTACAATCTTTTGAACCTGGCTCCATGACAGCTCAGAAGCTCTCATTTCTTCCTCACACCATCTCCTCCATGTCACCCTCACCTCCGACGCCCAACTTGTCGCTTCCCATCTGGGTTCCATTCGAGTGCCTGGCGTGATGCGTGATGTCCTCAGTCGGCCTTCTCAGTGTGTGCCCAATCCATCTCCACTTCCTTCTGCATATTTATTGAGAGATAGGTTCATGGTTGATTCGTTCCCAGAGTTCCTTGTTGCTTATTCTTTCTGGCCACCTGATCTTCAGTATCGAGCCAGCGTAGGCAGTTGTTGATGAATATCTGTAGTTTGTTGGAAGTGCCTTTCGTAACGCGCCGAGTTTCTGAACCATCACACAGAAGCACTGACTTGACGTTGGTGTTGTAAATCCGGATGTTTTTCACGATTTTTGCTTAGTGCAGAAGATCTCCAAACTGGTTTCAGGTTAATGAACGACTGTCTTGCTGTCTTTCTGATCCTAGTTTTGACGTCCTCGTCTGTGCCTATTCCGCCGCCTGCAGTTGAAACAATGCTGCCTAGATGAGTTAAAGTCTTTCCCGTTGATGGCGATTGGAACTTGTTGTTGTTGATGGTGGCGTTGGTTGGTTACTTTCATCAACTCTGTCTTCTCTACGTTCACCTGAAGGAAGTCCCGCCTTCGTTACCCTGCGTGCCTCTTCTGTCAACTTGTGAAATTACACAGTCACTCATGTGATATTTCAGCATAGTTTCCTGTGGAAACTCGAATAATCAGAAGACACATAGTGAGATATGCACGACACTACAATCGGTGTCAAGATTGCAAGCGTGAAGCTGCGAATCATATATATTACAAACTGATGCGAGTAATATTAGGCCACTGACGCCGATTGGAAGTGCTTGCAAACCAGAACTAGGTGATTTAAATATCAGTCAACTATTTTGCTTGTTCAGTGACAACCTCATCCTTGGTGTACCGGCAATGATTCAGTTGAGAAACTATAGATAGTGGATAGTTTTATGAATTCAGCTTTTTGAGATGAATCGATCTGAGTGCATCGTTGATAAGCTTCAGTGCACAGATCGCCTTAATGTGGCTAGAGAGCACTATTGATCGGTGGGAGTGATCTACAACTACTCATATCAGTCAGTCGTGCAACACGTGCAGATTTTTGCTTTCCGTCCTTTAGCAAAGCTGTGTGCAAATCTGTGTACATGTTCAGATAAATTTCCCTTCTTTAAAACATCATATTACTTATTAAAAACAAGTTAAAAAACATCACTTCTTAGCATTGAAAAAAAAATTGAAAACTGATAATAAATTCACTCGAGATTGCGCGTTTTCACCCATTTATGCGTGAGTCACTAGGTTATAGCTACTGAAATATCGGTAGTCACCAGAAAGATATGATCATTATTTTGAGGTAGTATTGATCACATCAGTTGGAAAGATTTGAAAGGTGGAAGCACTAGACAGCTGTTTCGTCCTGATGTAGAACCGTTCAGCAGTACGCACCCATCACCTGGTTAAGGATCACACTCAGGACTTTCAGGTTTGACGAAGAGTGTGTTAACCATTCATCCAGTGGGTTGCAGTTAAATGCTTCATAGTTTCCGACTTACCTTAATTAGCCATATAGCACGACCATCACCCAACATCGGAAGTGGAGCAGTTGGCAACCGAAGAACTTGGGTGATGGTCGTGGCATATCGCGAATAAACAGAAGTTGAAGATTGTGAAGCATTGAACTGCGACCCAGTGAACGAATGGTTAACACCTTCTTGGTGAAATCTGAAGGTCTTGATTTCGTTCCCTAACTAGATGGTGGGCACGTACTGCTGGAGTGTCCCATCTAAAAACGAACAGCAGTCCAGTGCTCCCACGTCTCCAATGATTCTCCGATTGATGTCATTCCGTGGTGAATAATACCTGAAAATTCAAATATTCACTAATCTCAAAATACATTATCATTATTGTATTTCAAAAATGCTGCTAAATATCTATTGATAACTGGCTGATATCCATTTCATCCTTCATCCAGTTGTAAATGTTACATTAAAATGTAAGTGAGAGGTGATGTGTACTTTATCAACTAACTTGTTTGTTATTATTGGCATTCTCAACTCAATGTGTTAAACACTTTCTTTTCTCTTATATATATACAAGTATATATGTATGCATGCATATATGTAACTATAGTTCAGAAGAGTAACAAATCTCATGGAAAGAAAGCGATTTCTTCTCACTGAAAACTCCAAAGTAACTTGTTTGGTTGATGTAAGAAACATTTGTATAATGTTATCAATTGGATCACATTTTGAAGGAAATTTACTGTTTCAGTTTCTATCTCAGATTTGAATTATCAAAAATGATGCTAGCCACTTTTACAAAACACCTGAGGTATTTATCTGGAACGATTAGGTCTGAGTAGATTTACTTGATTTGAAATCGATGAGTAAAGATTTGCTAACAAATATGGTAACAGTGATTAGTAGGAATGGAGCTGTCGCATAGACTCCTGGTGTATTCCAACAGTTCATACACAATAATGACTGAGTTTTGCTCCAGGTAACCTGCCTAATTCATGTCTCACTATATACATTTGTGAATCTCTCTACATTCTGACCAACTGACTGTCTTCTCTATCTAACTTCATCAATATACCTGACTTGATTACTATTCCACAATATATTATGAGATCGGTTTGTTTCATTGAGGGAATGCAACCGGTCAGCTGAATGAGCCAGTTGGATTAACTATCACATGAATCCTAGCATCTTTGAGATTGCTCCAGTAGAAATCGTGTGCCACAACTCATGAGTATGGGATGCACATGAGTACAACCTAACAGAATGGAACCTCCTACTCTTTCATACCGCAGTGTCGAAATCGTATAAGGTGCCATAAAATTCGAACCCATAGATTTTTTGTCAGTAATCACCACTGCTACTCTTCTGTCGACCTCAAGATTATTTCTATATAAACCAACTTCAAAGACATGAGAACTTTCGGTTCAGATTCTACGAATCACATTAAAATCATATTGCATAATTCCCATATTCCACACTCAGACAGGGATTGTGTAAAGTCAGAATAAAATCTCTATTCCTTCTGCTATTTAACAGATATCAATTTCTAATAGTCTTGTAAGTTGCACTAAACAAACAAGTGTTCAGTTAAATATGTTTTAAAAATGGTGACTAAAGTGAATTTAGTTATGAAGTAGTCAGGAAGTCGACTTTGATGGAATACTTCAGATGAGAAAAGTTCACCGCCAACACCTGTATCAAATTTACCTAGACATTATTCACATAGTGGCAAAGCATGAGAATACACATTTCCTGCCAATATTGGGAAAAATAAATCACGTAAAGTATAGCGTATAGTAACACTGAAGAAAAAATTGAAAATTGAAAAAAACGCATATAAAAACTAAGCTTCAGCTTCAGTTAGTTAATTAACATGAAGACTTCTAACTGGAAGTCATTGGGTATTTTCCCAATGGCTCCCTTATAACTGACAATGTGCTGAAGTTAAAACTGATCATGATGAGAATCATAATTTGAGAGCACAACTGTCTCATATCTCAATCAATCTTAAATGAACCAATTATCTTCATCAAGTAATATACAATAGTATGCATTACCAGTTAGTCACATATATGGTTTCTTGTCAAATAGATAAAACTTCAAGTCAGTACTGTTCAATACGTTCATGTATTGTAGACAATTAAGCGATGACTGCCTGCTCCAATCGAATCATTTATCTTATGCTATTTCTCCTTTTCATGCTCAGTAGCATAATTTATAGATTCAAATGAAAACGTCAGTTACATACTTCATAATTACTGATATACTGGTGGCAGGAGTGAATATGTATGAGTCTCAAAAGATTATAATCAAGACAATGTAGGAGACGTTCTATAGACAACTGCTGTAGGTAAAAGACAAAATCCCAACCCAGATGGTGACATCAAAATCCACTCTAACGGGTGACATGAACCAAACTGGGAGCGGACAACACACGAAGAGAACTGATCATGGATCGAGAGGCACTCGGTGAAGTGATGAATGAGAATGGGTAACTGTTTGCAGACTTCTGTGCACTTAATGATTTGGTGATTGGAGGTAGTGTGAACAAACACAAGGATATTCAGAAGGCAGCGATATGGATTTGATTTCACCAAACACCAGGACACACTGTATTAAAAATCAGGTCGACTTCATCTCAATGTGAAGAAAGTGAAGATGCAGTCAGCCTATTGGACACAAGATCAGATGAGGAAGGGGAGCAGATGTTGGTGGTTCATATCACTCACTATCCAGTGCAAGGAACCCACCTACAAAATCAAGTTGGAAGCCTTGAAGGAAGTTTGTGATAGACCACACTTCAAGTTCAAAACCAAGAACAGAAATTAAAAAACGAAACTACGGTAAGGAATTAAGGAAGCTTGCATAACCGTGCTAGGAAGGAAGACGAAGAGACAAGACAAGGAATGCATCCCCACGGATACATGGAAGCTGATAGGGGGGAGGAGAGGAGAGGAGAGGAAGATGGTAAAGCAGAAGATGAACCAGTACAGTGATGAACAACGAAAAGAGGAGCTGAATACAACTTATAAAACACTACATTGGATAAGTTAGTGAAGAAGAATGCACGGAAAGACAAAGGACACCTCTACGACACACCTGCAAGTGAAGCAGAACAGGGTGCAGACTGGTAAGAGAGGCCTGACAACATTATTTCAAGTAAACAGGTTACTATATAGTAGGGCGGAGATCAACACAGATGAAACCAATGAAAGATAGTGAAGGAAACCTAGTTACCGCCAAGAAGGGGAAACAGAGGAAACGATGTTCTGACCACTTCAGAAAACTCTTGAATCGACCACCACCACCACGAACAGCTGCAACTCGTCTAGAAATACCACCACCAGCAGTCCAGTCACAGAACTATTAGTGAACATAAACCCTACAACGAAAGCGGAAGTGAAGTCCTGAACGCCACCAAGTTACTGGAAACCGAGAAAGCATCAGAAGCAGATGGAATTCCTGCAGATGAAGTGGAGTGAGGATGAAATAAAAGCCTATGGACAGTCGTGGAGACAGGTTAAAAAGACTGAGGAGATCAGCGTGAAATGGCAACCTTTCTACTCAAGCCCTATGTCCCACTAGCAACCTAAGGGTCAAATAATAATATAAAAATAATACCAATAATTGTAGAAAGCGACAAGACATAGACAATGGAAGGAGTGTTGATTATTGACATTTTCTACATTAGTCATCAAATATTGTACACCTTACACTAAGACAGTCATTTACCCAACGTGCTTCATTTCCTGTTCTGCTTCTATCCTGATTCGCCCTTAATATGCCCACATTATCTCTTGCGTTTCTCTGCTCAGAATCTTGACCCATTGCTGATGATTCCTCATGGTTTCTCCCACCCTTTCAACATACTACTACACATATCCATTCTGATCAGCAACGCCCACTGCAGCATAACGTAGACAGCATACATTCAAACATCGAGAATAAGCATTTACTCAAGCGGTATTGGAACTAAACAACTTCAGTCACAACTACAACTGTCTAGTGGAATATATCAGAAAGAGTTGTATTTCCTTCATAGGATATTCCAATGCAGATATAGCTGAACAAACCAGTTCTACACATAATATCGTATGAAGACATCATGGCAATAAACGCCAATGTATAGCTTTGCTGTTCTATGCATACAATAAATTTTGGTTTAAAATTACAACAGTCAGTTCAAATGCGGGACACATTCACTCATGCGTTTCTTCAATGTTAGAACCTCAGTTGGTTAAGCATCAGACCGGAAACCCAGTGGTCGCTGGTTCGAATCCGGTAGCTGTACAAATTTTCATTTTACCTTCAATCATCAACTAGTATAAATGCCAGTCTGTTTAACCACGGCCATCTCAGATAGTCAAAATGATAAGATGAATTTGCTCGAGTAAATTAGCCCCCTAATTTGAGATAATTATCTGATACCTAAAGTTTCTTCTAAATGGATATAAACAACCCAGACCATATAAAACTTCTGGGAAACGAGTCGTAGCCTTGTAGTCATCAAGCTGTTTTCCCTTATTCTTCAAATTCTCCATTGAATGCATTTTTCAGAAACGAGGCAATGCTATACATGTAAGTAAAAAACTGTAAATTAACTATTTTAACAAATGAAATAAGTACATTTTCAGATGAAATGTGAAAGTGTCATCTATAAAGTAGATTACCATAGTACAAAGGACTTGTTGAAAATGAATATTCGACCACCAAACAATCTACACTATCTATGTCCAACAACAAGCACCAATACTTTATCCGAAATATCTTCGAACACTTCATTTCTTACTCAGTTTCGACTTCAAGTAGACGTTGATGTTGTATGGCAGAGGTAAATTATTCTTTTGTGTTTGCAGTTCAAAGTGATTGCTTGTCGCAGGTGTTCGGTTCCGATATGGCATAATGATGCATTAGGTGCCAAACTGAGTGAATATGACTTGATCTGTATTGTCCACATCCACTGTGATGAGATATTCAACATTCTCCAACCTATTAGGCAAGGCGTGAAATATCTGACTGTAGAACGAACGCCAACTATTTCAAGTGTTTGATGAGTGTTTATTTCAAATTCTCGATGTACTACATGTTGACTCTCTCCAAACAGGCACCAGATTACTTCAAGCTGTTCTTGATAAACCTTGACTGCAGAACATGAGGACTTTTAAATCCAAACTAAACGATACTAAACGTCGAGCAGAAGTCGTACAACGAACTAGTATTATGTAGTTACTTGTATGAGCACTTATACTGAGGTTGTAGTATGATACCAAAGAGTAATTGTCCACAAACCAATTAATAGGCATCACTCGATGCTGTTCTCGATAGGTTTATTTATCAAACGTTATCTCAAAGAAAGCAGATTAATGACAATGACCGATAAATCTTTTGAGAAGTCATTCTTCGCGTCAATGATTATAACGAATTAGCCTTCATAAACATGCTCCATGACATCTTCCTTCCTAGTCTATACTTCAGATTCAGTTCCGGTCAACCATTTCACCAGATGCACTCCAATTGGATTCTTCGTAGAACTACGAATACTAACTGGATTTTATTAAACTGCTTGAAAAGTACTTTTTTCAGCTGAAGGTCCTTTTTCATAAAGCAAGGACTCTTCCCACCCAACTGTGCGTTTACTTTAATCAGAATGCTGAATTTTATGTCGGCTCAAGCAGTAAATACAATCAGTACTGTCAACCTGTTGTTTGTAAGTCGTATAATGTGAGAAGAGGAAGTCCGAAGATTGATATTCTTCATCCAAGACAGTGTCAGCTCACAGAGTATTCAATTTTTCCACGAAATATTTTTTGTCAAAAAAAGTGATCTGTTTGAGAGTAGTTTTCATTCATAGCTGAGATTTTGGTTGTATTGTGTTCTCTAAGCTGCGTTGTGAAGTCGCTGAGCTTTCATCATCTTTCTCGACGACATCATCTGAACTAACTTCAGTATGAAATGAGTTATCAATATCTCTCCGTGAGTGATTTAGTAGCTTACCCTGGTGAAGTGGTTTGTGACTGGTCGCTTCCATTGGTCGTTGTGTTATTGACTGCACCGATCGTCCTGTTGGCTGTTCCTCTGCTCAACCTCTGTCGTTTGTCATTTTTCTCATTGATTGATAGATTGGGTCTATGTCTACACATCCGTTGACTGCTGACTGACTTGAATGCTGAGCTTCTAGGAACGCTTTGATATTCCTTTTGTTTCCTCTCTCTATCAAATATTTCTACATTGTCAAAATTGAATTCATTTCCATAGTTGTTATCCACGTGCATTGAAATGAGTGATGAAATGTCGGTTCTGACGTTTGATAGCCAGTTGGTGTTGATGTAAACGCAGTTGACTACATTTTACAATGTAGTGTTGACCAGTTGATTTGGTAAACGATATTCTGGCTGTCTCCAACAGCATTCAACAGAGTAGGATGAAACTTCGAAAGTGTCAATGAAGACGACAACTGAACGAATTTGCACTGCCGTTTGCACCACAATGCGAGTCACTCGTTTTGTATGAGATCATGTGTAACTAGAACTTGGTTGACTGGAATGAAGTTGGTCGACCAGATTCAAGCGAATACTTCAACAGTGCCACTCAAATTCCAAACCCATTTATCTACAAGTGCGAACGCATTCTGAATACAATTCATAATAGTTTCCTCTTCATTATCTAAAAACCTGAACACTTATTCCTTTAAAGGTGGAATGCTGGTTTGAAAATGTGAGTTGATATTCGTCAACCTTGTACACTGAATGTTCCAGTAATTCTGCAGTTGTCGACTCAAACTGCTGTGTATTTAATCAGATGGTGTAATGAAGAATCGTGCCTATCCGTGCTCAGATATCGTGTTAAATGGTGAATGTTTCCCCCTAAACAGATACAAAAACTAACTAACTGACGGTAAGCTCATTTTGTCATGTTCCCTATTGCAATTTATTCTCTGCATTAAAAATCACTAGGTGCTTGTCTGAGACTGGCTCCATAAATACTGTCACAAGCTGAATGAGGATGTATGCGATAAGCATATTTGAATTGTTCCTCTTTGATGCATACTTGATCCGGAAAGCTTACCGAAACTGCTGAGATCAACTACAATCTAGGTGAATATCGTCCCACAAGGAAGTTAGTTGACTGAGTTGGGTATACATGTCTACTATGTGAGTTGAAACAATGCCGCATTTCGACATATTTCGCTTACCTCAACTTATCATTTATTCGTTCAGTTAAACTAAAAGTGATTCAATTTTTCCCTTTATTTAGAAGAGTTGACTTGATGAAGAGAAATCATCAATTGACTCATCATGGATAAATTCACCTAACACTTACCCTTAATAATAATGTCATCATCTGCCTTTAATTAACTCTGATATTCTCATTGTGATAAATAAAATATACTGTTTCTGCAAATACGTGTTTTCGATGATGCCTCGTCAACAGTTACAATCAAATTGAGAAATGATTCAATGCATACTATTGAAAAAATTGTTCTTTCCATGTGGTGGTTGCCATTACCCTCCTTCAGGTTGACTATCCATCTCGTTCAGTCTACACACGTTTGCACTGAAATCATCTGCTGCAACAACTACATCCAATTGTTTGATTATAGTTGAAGGTTTGACAGCTTCTAGTGGAAATCGTCCTCAACTTCATCTAAACTCGTGTAGGCAGAGATTGCAAAGAGACAACAGCGAATTTAAGGATTTTCGTTAGTTCTGACTGCAGTATTCAGTTCAGCGGCGCACATTTCTCTGTCAACTGGTATCTAGTCATACATGCGTCTCGCTGGCATCTGTCAAATGTAAGATGATGCTTCAGGATTGGTCTGCTGCAAGTACTCCTAGTTTAATCCCAGGGGTTGAAGTGGTGGAATGTGTCAACCACGAGACTGACTTGAGGACGGCCTGGCTGCTGACTCAATCTCAGGTCAGATAAAGGATTCTTTTCGACATTTGCCAACTTGCGTCACCTGTTTATTCGGTGATGCACCATGCGAGAAAAAGTTGGGTTAGGATGGATAAGAGTAAAGAGTGGCCTGACTAAAACCTAACATCAGTTCATGAAGTCCCTCACAGTGTGCTTGAGGCTTGAGCCATGTGGGAAGATGTAGACTGCCTGGTTGGGGTTGCTGAGACGAAATGCATCAGTGATTGAGGACACTTCCTGACATGGCTGAAAATTGATCACAGTGGTGCAAATGATGTTCACTCCTTGACGGCTTCTGAAGCTTGAGTATTCACTCTTACCGTCACCTTCAGATTGTTCACTCTCTTACACCACTTTGTCTTTTTGGATCCACCTGTGTTCTTTGTGTACTACTGTGAAGTGTGGCAAATTGAATAGATGCATCTGTGTGCATGGTTTTTCCTTGATTTTGTCATTCAATCAGTCACCCAGCCAGTAAACACTGCTCAGCTGCTTGCACCGTAAAGCTGAGGTTAGGTGAATGACACACGCAAGTACTTCAAACGACAGAGTGATATACGCCAGTATGGGTCATCTGTGAGGATACCGTTAAGTCATTGTGTCTACAAAATACTGGCTGCACAACCAGTCGGTTCATGCACCTCTCCTCCACAGATGTATAACTCATACTCCACGAGATGAAGACGTCCAATGACTAGGTTTTCGATCATTTTCGTCTCGGTAGCACTGCTGGCATCTAGGAGAATTACAATGTATTGAATCCTCAGGTGTAGCGTGACACACTTTTGGTGTGATGAGATTGTTATTTATTGACTGTTGTCATCTTAAAATACCGTCTTCAGATGGTTTGGACATGTTTTACCTACATTGTCCCAGCCTCACCTGAACCTCTCACATTTTGTTTGCTCTGGAACTGGCTGCACAAGACGATTAGCAAACACATTTCTCCAAGAATTTCTCATCAAGATTCACAATCCAAGTAGAAAATGATCTAACATATATTTTTCCAAGTTGTTATTCATCGTAGACTGACATCAGTTGGAGGAAGAAAGGAAACCCCAGGAGCACTGGACAGCCGCTTCGTCCTAGTGTGCGACTCCTCAACAGTGCACACCTAAGACATCTCCAGGGATCGAAATCGCGAACTTCAGGTTCCGCGGCCAGCGCGTTACCACTGCTAAGAAGACCCACACAAGGACTAAACAGCTGTCCAGTGCTCCCAGTCTTCCTTTGTTTCTCCAAATGATATCAGTCTACCATGAATAATAACTTGAAATATTTCTAAATCTCCACAACTCCCTCAAAAATATATTTTCTCAGCTTGGAGGTTTGTTGCGATTAACTGACTGATTGATTTCCAGGTGTTATTCGTCAAAGCCTGTCATTAGTTAGTGAACCTAATAATGAACCCATTGTATCCTCACCCGTCTGTTGACAAAGTTCATTGTCGAATCTAAATTGTATACTGAAAGTACATCGTGGGAGCACTTGCTCCAGATAATGCTTAGGAATCCCACTTTTAGGCGTGCTGATCTCAATATAATCACACAGAAAGTGGATTATTTCCGTCAAAGAGACATTTATGAAGAGCAATATCCTACCCAATGAAAACATGTGCTTACCAATCATACTGATATCTCTCATGTGGTTAACGAAGTCGTAAGAGTCAAGAGTAATATAATTAGTAATTCGGTGCTTCACTGGCTGAAGGACTTCAGTCAACCATCTAGTAATCTTATGATATGGTGAGTTGTTCATGTCAGCAATTGGACGAAAATGAACAGTATTCTTGTGAACTTTGGGAAGACTACCGAGTCGAGGAAATACTCAACCGGATGGTTTTAGTCATTCAAACAGCTAATTGGGGATGTATAGGAGGATTGTGCATGTGTGAAAGATATGGAGTGGAACAAATTATTATTGCCTCCCACAAGCATACATATAATAAAATGTTGGAATATCTAATGAATTATCAAACCGATGGAAACATATCAGGACATAGTGAATTGGTTATGGTTATGATAAGAGTAGAGAAAAGATAATGTTCTTATTTATCTGGTTTGACGCGGAAAACGAAACCATTCTAGTTGTATCTTTGTTGAATGTAAAGTTCATGGGAAAGAAAGCGCCTGAACAAACTTCTTCCATCTACACGAATAAGAATTCAAACACTTTGTCATAGCCTCTGTTAAATTTTGCATTTCGAGGAGTACAAACTAAGAGAATCGTTGTAGCTGTAGATGTAGCTGTAGTAATAAAAAGTAGGGGCTGAAGATTTGTTCATTTCCAACTTCCTACCTAGTTGTTGTGTAGTCTTAAGTGAATCAGTAGTGAACTTGCCCAGTAATTACTGTAATTATTGTTACAGGAATAGATAGATTTGAAAATATGCATCAATGTGGCTACATTCCATAGCCCGTCTTCCAACTGTAATGATGTCCTATAGCAAGTAGAAGATTTTATGCATAACGTTGCTGTTAAGATGCCAAATTTTTCCTACTTTCGATGTCGGTGATTCATCAGTTGCCCTCTCTCCTCCTATTTTAGTGTTTAGGTGAGATACCATTATATCTCTTTAGCTACTTCCGTTGTACAATTTATGCTTGGAAAATAGAAATTAGATAAATAAACGTGACAACGATGGTCTGAATGTTGATAACTACTTTTCTACTTGAAGCCGTTAAGTGGTTTCTCTAACAACAGTTGGCAGACTATCTGCAGAGTTTAGTATGAACTTCTCCGAGGAATCGTCCTAACTTCCTGGAGGAATCTAGTACTGGGTAAACTTTTATAACTTGAACTTCTTGTAAATGTTACCGAAAGCCTTGATTCGTATTCATAAGTCTCAGGGGCTTCGAAGACTTCCGATTCCGTATTTATCTGGGTTGATCACCATTCCACATCGGTTAAAGTGTCTGCCAATCGCTTTATGGTCCTAGCAGTGTTGGGACTATGATGTGCTTGTGACTTATATCTCATTGACAAATACATTTAAGAAGGTCAGACAGTGGTGAACATGATGAACAAACCGCTTTAAATTCTGCGCTGTGTTGATTGACCTGAATGCCGCATTTCCAAGCCGAAATAGCTTAGATAGGCTCGTCATAGCTGTTTTTGAGTGTGTCGTTCAGCTTCACTGATGTGTGATATTGAGCAAATACAAGATTATTGTTTGAAAACATTTTCACTCCTCGCCACTAAGCCTCGTATGCCTGAATCACTATTTCCTCAGGTATGTAGGTAAAGACCTGTTGATAAGCACGAACAGACACAGAACATGTAATAAGAGATTCTTGTTAAATGACTGAAAACGTCATTTGGTCAAATTAATTACTACCAACACCTTGAAAGTGAATTTACCAGGAGGTCGTAGCACAACAGTTCTATTCAGCAATGCCATCCGATTGATAACTACTCAGCAGAAATTGCCCACTAATAAAGGTATCTCATTCTGTTGTTTCACGAATGAGACTACTTCTCACACCTCGTTGAATCATTGTGAGCCTTTTTCATAGTTCATGCAGCTAACTGATCGTTTCTCACTGTCAATTAAATACAGTGACAGTTAGCACCTAACTGGTGTTCCCCTAGCTGGTAGTTTGGCGTTAAATTTGCCAGTTACTAAGAATCTAGATTACGAATGGTTGGATGTTTGAAATAAGGGTGAAGTGAGTCATGTGAGTGGATAGGATTGTGAAGGAATTCTTATCACATATCTTCAAATCATACTATTCGCCACCTCAGTATTCGTTGGTTTATGCACTTCGATGTGTTCTGATAGTGTGAAGATTGTGGTGATGGAGTTGTCAGTCACCATAATTCATGAAGTTTATTGATCAACGAGATTTGATTATGGACATTGAAGAGGCACCTGTTTGAGTAATAGTAGAGATATGAATATTTTGTCTGTTTGCAGAAATGAAATGCATTCTATAACTTACTTGCGAGGTGATTCGTCTTTGGGACTGGAAAAGGTGAAATTTCCATTAGATGGTTAAATATAATAATTGTATGTCTAATGCGTACAGTAAGACATTATGAAACAGTTTCCTTTATCAATGCTGATGTGCTTATTGGACAACAGCAAATGAATTTGCTGGATAATTTGGAATCATGGAGGCTCTTCTTCTATTTCATATCAGAATTTCTCCTTTATGTTATTCTCTTCTATGTTTCTGATTTTAATTTCGTGAATGTATACGGATATGTGTTGTATTTGTCACCAATATTATAGTAGGTTTTTGGACATCCGATATACTTTAAAAGTGAAATTCAGTTGTGCTTACTTTGCATCTTCCGCTGTTCTAAATTGTAGTTTTTGTGAATAAGAGAGAAAAATGATAAGTCTCAATTCATGATTTTTCACGTTTAGTATGTTTACATTTATCTGCGAATACCTGCTGGATCCACATTTGTTTTGTAATACAAGTAAAGTAAATCTTTAACCAGATATTGATTGTGTAACGACTCAGCGGTCTGGA